CTCTGATCTACCAAACTACCTACCTTACCTACCCCAAATCGCCTCCGACCCTTCATTCCTGCTTGCCCGGCTTGCCTTGTACATGATTCCATGACCTCCCGGGGACCCCGTTCCAGTCGCAAAGGATCCAAACTCGTGAACAAGTCAAGAGAGAGGCGGTAGAAACTCCTGAAACGCTTGCTATCGTCGTCGTTCCTCCCAAAGACAAAGCCATGCTCTCCTCACCCTGAACATCCAGAGAAGACCATCCATCCTCTCCATCGGAACCCTCGCCGGAATACCATGGTAGAACCCTCCACCACCGGCGCCGCCCAAATCTACAACTCCAACGAGCCGTAATCCAGAGCATACAAGCGAAACAAAGAACCTCCAAGGAAACCACATCTTCGGGACCAGGGCTTCCGAGAACGCGGCGCACTACCCACCTTTCTCTTTCCCGTCCAAGAAACCCCCAAGACCCCTCGCGATGGCGCCCAACATCGTCGTCTCCCGTCCCACATTCCCAACGTACCTCCTCCCAAGCTTCAACATCGTCCCCTTCCGCCGCCGCGCCCCGCGCCGGACCTCGTCCGCATCAGAAGCAGCAGCAGAAACGGGGACGGCTTCGACGTCCCCGGACTCAACCCCGGACGCAAGCCAAGTCCCCTCCCTCAGCTCCTCGCCGACTTCCTCGACGACAGACGAGACCGCGACCCCGCCGAACAGCCCACCGCCGCCGACGTACCGAGATGCCACCACCGCCGCCGCAACAACTAGCATACCAGATCTCCTCTCCAAATCCAAGTCCAAACCCACAAGCATCAGCACCAACAACAAAACAACCTCCCTGGCACGCACCCACCCAGACACCCTCCGCTGCTCAACCTGCTCCTGCGACATCGCCTTCGCCTCCCAAATCGTAAGCAAAGGCTTCACAGGCCGCTACGGCCGCGCCTACCTCATCGCGCCGACCGCCATCCCAAACACCACCACCGATACCGCGTCCTCCTCCCCCTCCACTACCCAGACTGCACGCGGCGGCGCAAACGGCAGCAAGAACAAGGGAAGCCTCGCCAACGTCCGCATAGGAAAATGCGAGAACCGCCAGCTCGTGACGGGCTGGCACGTCGTCGCGGACATCACCTGCGTCCTCTGCAGCGCGAAGCTGGGGTGGAAGTACGTCGACGCCAAGGAGCTCAGCCAAAAGTACAAGGTGGGCAAGTTCATCCTCGAGGTCGAGCGCGTGGTGCCGTTCCGTAGCTGGGAGGACGTTGTCGACGTCCGGGACGATGAGTGTTCTGACGACGAGGAAGACGATGCGTTAGAGGATGACGATTCCGTGGCCGGGGAGGCCGGCGGAGTAGGTGGTAGAGACGAGGATGTCGCGGGCCGAAACGGCGACGAAGGCGGCGGCGACGACAGTGCCGCCCAGAGCGCTCGCAAGGACGCGTCGGACAGTGATGTTGAAGTTGTGTTTGATTCCGAGGACGAGGACGACCTCGAGGATATGTTCTCTGGAAACTGGGACCCAGAGGTTGTGGCAAAGAGACGGAGCCGTCGAGTGGCGACGGCGCGGAAGAAGTAGTGGAGCTCTTGTTGAAAGCTCCCGATACCCCCCCCCCCCCTTTTTCCCCTACCACTTACACGCACGAGATATCCCAAGCCATGCAGGCTTTGTCCTCTCACCGGCGTTTTGCTTGGATACCTGGAACACGAAGTATATACCATGACGAACGAACGATCATGACTGTCCATTTACGCACTAATACCCCACATTTAGAAACGACGAAATTGAGCACGGTTTAATATGAATTTGTTTGGGTATTTGAATTACGTGACTTGTGATTTGAACCTTGCAGTGAAAATCAGGAGCTTCTTGTCCGTTGATCCCCATCTGGCCAACGGCCCATTGCAGCCCTCTCGGCATGCATGATATGCTGTCAGCAGTCGGCCTGTAAGCCGAACTCAACTCGCCATGGCAACGTGGTAAGGTGACTGCCCCATTGCATGTCATGGCAGATATCGCGGTTCCTAGTTGCCCTCTGGCGTAATGATCTCACTTAATCCATGGTCGATTTATGCGATGGGCTCCTCGGCGACGTAGTGCAAGTAAGCGCCAAGGAGCTTAATGCCCTCGATGTAGTTGCGCTTGTCCAGCTTCTCGTTGATGGAGTGAGCACCGTCAGTGGAGCTACCCATGGGCAGAAGAAGAACGTTCTTGCCGGTGGCCTGCTCAAAGGTCAAGGTGACGGGGATACTATGTCTATTGTTAATGGACGTCCTTCGACATCTGGAAATGGGATTCATACCTTCCACCCTCACGGGTGAAGTCAGGCTGCACGCCCCAGACGCGCTCGGTAGCCTTGGCGGCAGCCGAGAAGTTCCAGTGCTTGGGCGATGCAACCCACCACTTGCCGGTGTGCTGAGCCCAAACCTTCATGGTGTTCTTGCTCTTGAGCTTTGCGAATTGCTCGTTGACGTACTTGTAAACGGCCTCGTTGGTCGCCTCCTCCTCCATATTGGGCACGGTACGGATGGAGAACTTGCCAGTGACCTTGGCCGGGATAACAGTCTTCGCGCCAGGGGCAGAGAAGGCACCCTCAACACCGTGGACAGAGAGGGAGGGGTAACGCCATCTTGCCATGAGGGTGGACTTCTTGTCTTCGTAGATAGTAGTCTTGCTGCCGAGAGACTCGTGGAGAGTCTCCATAGTGAAGGCAATGCCATCATACAGAGTCTCCTCATCCTTGGTAACAGGGGCGACCTGCTCCATAATGCCAGGAATCTGGATCTTGCCGTCAGTGTCGACCAATGAGCCGAGAACGCGGACCAGGTCAGTCATGGGTTCCTGAGCAGTGCCGCCGAAGACACCGCTGTGCAAATCAGCGCCAGGGCCCTTGATCTCGACAGAGTAGTAGTTGCAGCCACGGAGACCATAGGTCAAGCAGGGCTTCTCAGTTCCGAGCCAGTAGTTGTCAGAAATGCAGACAGCATCGGCGTCAGCGAAGAACTTCTTGGCCTCGGCATTGATGAGATCGTCAAGACCCTCGGAACCGTACTCCTCCATACCCTCGAAGCACATGAGGAGGTTGACGGGGAAGTCGATGCCGGCCTTCTGGTGAGCCTCGATGGCGTTCAACCAGCCGAGAACGGGACCCTTGTCGTCCGTGGCACCACGGCCGAACATTCTGCCCTGGTCATCGACGGAGAGCTCAAAAGGCTCGGTCGCCCAGCCATCAGTCTTCTCGGCGGGCTGAACATCGTAGTGGCCGTAGACCAGGATAGTTCTCTTGTTCTTGTCGCTTCCATATCTTCCCAGCACGACGGGGGGCAGCTGCAAGCCAGGCTTGTCAGGCTGCTCACCGAGCTCGCGAAGCTCGACTGAGGCACCGAGGGCCTTCAGCTCGGCAGCAAGCCACTCGCCCATCTTGACGACATCGGGACGACGCTCAACATCAGCTGAGATGGAGGGGATCGCAACAGCCTTCCGGAGGCGGTCGATGAAGTGGTCGGTGTCGGCATCGACCTGCTTGAAGTAGCCGTCGAGTTGAGGAGCCATCTTGGTCTTTCGAGCTTGGTGTGCTTTTATAGCTGGAGTAAGGTAGTGACGGCGAGATTGTGAGATGGTCTGCCAACACGGTAGAGATTTGGGAGTTGTAGGAACAAACTTTCGAGCAGTCTGAGGGAGGGCAAGGCCTCTAAACAACGAGGTGCGGGGCATGACGCCGGACTGGACCTTCTACATCGGGCGCAAAAGAGCTGACCAGAATTCTGCTGCACCGAGAGTACCTCTACATGCACCTGCCCACAACTGCTCCGGATGGCGGGGTTCTCTCAATGCGCTTCGGCAAGCAGCGGCGTATCAGCAGGAAGGGACCTGGCCATTGCTAATGTATCCGTTCCAGGTGGAGGCGCTAAGACCGAGACCAAAGAACTTTTGCGTGATACAGCACGTGACGTTGTCGGCAGCTTCGCGGCCGAGATAGTGGAGTCCCGGTCGGGACCTGGGCGGAGGAGGCAATGGAAGTTTCTTGGGATTACTCAGCTGTGACGGCACCTTCCGGAGAAGAATGGGGTCCCTTTCAGAACTCAGGTTGATAAGGTGCCTTAAATCTTGGTGGTAAGGCCTAGCACAGAGACGGGACATAGGCTCCCGGAAAAACATCCACCCGGAAAATCCGACGCTCACGTGCCACCTGGCCCAGGCTTGCCTAGAATTGGCAGTGCTGCAGAATCAGGCCGGTCGGTCGCAGTGGCCAGAGAGTGGGTTCCAGCTACCTTTCTCCGTCTGCCTGCAGTCACTGCCGGCTATATCTCTTCTCCTCCCCCTTTGCGTTACTCCTCTTTTTCCTGCCACGAACATCACCATCAACGCCCTCTTACGACCTGCGACCGCGCGTTTCGTTCTGCCGAAACCTACGTACGGGTGCTCCATACGACTGTGCAACGGATTCCATCACCCTACGATAATCGCCCAAACGACTTTTCGGCCCCAGGTGACCAGCGAAGCAAGTGCCCGCTCAGCAACCGACTCTTTCCCTGTACGATTGTTTGCGTCCCGCCACGAGACCGTTGCGACCGCTCACACTTCGACCGGAATACTGAATTGGAGACCAACGCTGGCTAACTGAGGTTTTCTCGACTGATGGTGCGAAAGGTGTCGAGGTGATTTGGATTTGAGGAGGGATTCACACAAAGGACTGACTTTTCTCCAACTGGTGTCGGCCTCTTTGGCATTGTACTCTTTCTCTACACTCCGCAACCCTTATTTCCTTGTTTTCCAAGTAAATCAGAATTGATTTTCATTACTCTTGAGAGGTGCTAAGCGCAAGAGACATCACACACAAGCAAGAAGAAAAATTACAAGCATCAAGTCTCTCTACTCACGTTGAGGTAGCGTTGCATCTTCGTGGTATCCCGCGAAGTCCTCATCGCCACTCAAATCAAATATTTGATTACGCACTTTACTGCTGCCAACGTCTATAGCGGTCTACATCTGTGACCTATCCAAACGAGACATCATGGCGTCCTCCGTGTTCTTCAAGTTCAAGTCTCAAAAGGAGCCGACGCGAGTTGAGTTCGATGGCACCGGTATTTCCGTCTTCGAGCTGAAGCGCGACATCATTTTGAAGAGCGGCTTGGGAGATGGTACCGACTTCGACCTTGCTATTTACTCCGAGGATGGCAGTGAGGGTAAGTTCCATCTTGAACAGTTTTCTCACGACTGTCAATCTAACATCTTCTTAGAGTACGATGATGATACGACCATTATCCCCCGATCTACGACCGTAGTTGCTCGTCGCCTTCCAGCCGCCAAGCCTGGTGCAGGCCGAGGCGCCCGATATGTCTCTGGCAAGATGCCCGTTGCTGCGAAGAATTCCTCCCGCAAAGAACAGACCACCAAATCAGCCACAGCCAAGGCCGCATCCAACGCCATTAGTCAGATGAACAATGCCATGACGGAAGAAGAGAAGATGGCAGCCATGTTCCAGGCCCAAACCGAGTCTTGGTCGGCCCAACAGGAGGAAATGTCAAAGTAAGTCCATCCCCAATCGCCCTAACGAATCAACTCTAACAAAGTTGCAGCCAAACCCCTGTGTTCAAGCCAGGTTCTAAGAAGCCAGCAAACGTGCCTGACCATGACCCTCCCAATGGCTACATTTGCTATCGCTGTGGAGAGAAAGGTCACTGGATCCAGTTGTGCCCAACGAACGACGATCCAGATTTTGACAATCGTCCACGTGTGAAGCGCACGACTGGTATTCCGCGGTCATTTTTGCGCACAGTGGACAAGTCGGTTGCCCTCGCCCAAAGTGGTGACGACGAGACCAAGAGACCATCAGGCATCATGGTCAATGCCGAGGGAGAATTTGTGATCGCTGAGCCTGATAAGGCTTCATGGGAACAGTTCCAGGCCAAAGCCAAGTCTTCAGCGTCTGCTGCCAAGGCAATCGCTATGGGAGACAAAGAATTGCAGGACCAGGGACTTGAGTGTCCTATCGACAAGAAGATGTTCATAGACCCAATGAAGACCCCGTGCTGCCAGAAGACGTATTGCAATGATTGCATAACCAATGCTCTCATCGAATCGGACTTCGTCTGCCCTAATTGCTCTACGGAAGGTGTCTTAATTGACGACCTCAAGGCTGATGAGGAAGCTGCGGAGAAGATGAAGGAGTTCCTCAAGGAGAAGAACGATGCAAAGAGCCCGACAGCAGCCTCGCCGCCGCCAGCCTCGTCGCCCAAGGAAAATGGAGAGACAAAGACAGAATCAGCCAACGGAATCGCCAAATCGCCCACATCGCAAAAGTCCCCTGCCGCCACAGTAGCAGCTCCTGCCTCAGCGCCAACAGGCCCGAAAGCCGATGGCACGCCAAAGTCGACATCAGCAACTCCTGCCACCGCTCCGTCCGGCCCCACCGCTGAGCGCGCGTCGTCCGTGGAGTCCAACTCCAAGAAGCGCCCTGCTGATGAGTTGATGGAGAACCCTAAGATTCCGAAGGCTCCGAAGGCGATGCAGAAGCAACAAGAGCAACAGCAAGCGATGATGAACGGCATGAACGGCATGGGCAACATGCCCATGGACCCGATGATGGGTTTCGGCGGCATGAACATGATGAACGGCTTCATGGGAATGCCAAACATGCCCAACATGCCAAACATGGGCAACATGGGCAACATGGGTAACATGAACATGGGGATGCCAATGATGGGCATGATGAACCCTATGATGGGCATGCCCGGCTTCAACCCCATGAACGGCGGCGGCTTCCCTGGTATGGGCGGCAACAACAACATGTACGGCAACAACTTCGGCGGTAACATGAACGGCATGAATCATATGAATGGCATGAACGGCATGAACGGCGGAATGAATGGTGGCGGGATGAACGGCGGCGGGATGAACGGCGGCGGCATGGGTGGCTATAATCAGCAACAACGCCACAACTTCACACAGCCCAGCAACGACGAGGACGCGTACTTCCGAAGGCCGGTGAACCCTCACCGTCACCAGAACCGGCAGAAGCGTGTCCGCCCCAGCGACTACAGAGAGCTGTGAGCGCCTTTCTCAATCGACGGCTCCTACACTGGCCATCTACGACTTCTTCGATTGTAAATCTAGACGACATGCATTGCATCACGGGGTCATTCATCATTATCATTCTGGAAAAACACGGCATAACACTATCCTCACACAGCCCAGAGGAATTTGGACAAGGCTTTTTTATGGTCTCAAGGGCGTTCGGGAACGGGGTAGGGACGGAATTTTCTAATGTGCCTGGGATGGGAAGGGAATCAATTGGACTTTGCTGTCGCTGCCATAGTGCAGAACAATGGGGCAGGGGATAGTTGGGATAATGAAGCTACGCCGTAGGTGCTCAGCGTTGAGGGCACTCTGATATCACGCACCAAGGTAGTCAAATCAAGTCTCCTGCACACATCACCAGGGTATCAATCGTTTGTGAATGTATTCTATGTCTCCACTCGTGACTCTTGCGCCTCATACTACCCATCCAGTCATAATCAAATATTCATAGTCGTGTTTTTGATCCTCTCACCACCAGCAGACCCCTGCCTCCCCAAAACCACCTACAAACTCTACTCATATTCAGGCATCCATTTCGGGCGGTGAGTAAGGCGTGGTCAGCATCTCGCTGAACTTTTCCAGCTTCTCCTTGCCGCGGACTTCCTCAACCAACAACGGCATCTTGACGACGTTGAACTCGTCATACAACTCCTCAATTTGTTCGAGGTACTTCTTCTGCATCCTGCGACGGGCCGTGCACTGGTCGCAGTTGCTGCCCTTCTTGGGGAAGAGGAGCTGGTTGACGACGATGCTGTGGGTGTCGATGCCGTAGTTTGCCAGCTCCTGGATCATGCGCTCCGTCTCGTAGAGAGACAGGAACTCGGGGATGCAGACGCAGACGAAAGTTGTCAGATTCTCGTCCTTGAACTGGGTGTTGACCTCGGAGATTGTCTCGCGCAGCGTCTCGAGCTTCTCCATCATCTCGTTGAGGTTCTGGCCGTTGGGAAGCTGGCCGCCCTGGCCGAGGAAGCCGTTGAGGAGGGGCCCGTACTGCGAGCTGAGCTGGGAGACCTTTGCGAGGGCCTTTTCGAGGACGCTGGGGAAGGAGAGGAAGCGGAGAGTGTGGCCTGTCGGGGCGGTGTCGAAGATGATTGTTTCGTAGGACATTGACTTTACTTGCTTGAGAACTTCGGCGAAGGACATGGCTTCGTCGATACCAGGGATCTGTGTACATAAACCACGTTAGAAAACAAGCTGCTGCAGATGTGATGGCGCGCCAGAGCCGAAGCTTACAGCAAATGCCAGATCCTGCATCATGCCACCGAGGCCACCACTCATGGCATCCACCTCCTCATTCTGGCCCGCAAGCAGGTCCTGCATGCTGCCGTTGGGGTCGATCTCCATGGCGCTCAGGTTGGTGAAGCCCTCAATGAGGCGGGCTTCCTTGCCGAACTTCTGGTTGAAGGCGTCGGACAGGTTGTGCGCCGGGTCGGTGGAGATGAGGAGGACCGACTTGCGCGCCTTGGCGAGCTGAATGGCAAGGGAGCACGACGTGGTTGTCTTTCCTACACCACCCTTTCCTCCGACAAAGATCCAGCGCAGCGACTTTTGGTCGAGGATGGACTGGAGGGTGGGCTCCATCACGTCGTCGGCGTCGATGATGGCGGCCATGGTCGCGGTTGAGAGTTGCGGTTGTTGGACGTAGTGTACTTGACTCGTTGTCTAGAAGCTGCCAAAGGTATGATTCGCGTTCGGCTTATAGGAATTCACGGTGAGCTGTAGATCGTTTTCGTGGGAGTTGCCGAGGATAGGTAGGTGTTTAGACGGGAGGCGTGCGTCTACGTCTTCCAAGCTGTTCTAGAAGTTCCAGTAGCAGAACGTTGCCTCCCCGCCATTTGGCGGGGCACCCCAGCACAAGGTACCGTGCGCAATTGCAGACTGTCGAGTTTCAGCACTGTTAAAGCTCCACCAGAGCTTGACAACTTTGCGGAGCTCCCGTGTCGAATTGCGTTTCCTGCTCACGCCACGACGTAGTAAACGGAGTCGCATTCACGACACAACCAGCGCCATGTCTAAGAACGGATACTCTGTCTTGCAGGAGCTGTCCAGCAAGGCTTCTGCGCGAACGGTTCAAGTCACCGTTGTGCCGAGGCCAAATAGGTTCTCCGAGAGACGCGCCGTCCTGCACTCGCTGCAAAGATTCGCCAATGTCGAAGTGTTCAAGAAGCTGGAAGTAAGTTTGCGTCTCGCAAGAGTCAATGCCAAGGAAGGCTCTTTCGCTGACACCATTGGCTTCAGAACCACGACTCTTCCTTCATATCCGTTCTCAGCGACAAATCGAAAGTCAAGGAGCTCGTCAAGATAAGCCCGCTCAAGTACCAACTCGCGACGCCTCGATCCAACGGTTCCGTCAAGTCGTTCCTGACCGGCTCGGCCGTCACCGGACCCTTTGCCAACGCAAATCACCAGGAAGGGAGCGAGGACGGCGCTGCAGGAACGGACGATAAGAAGGAATTCACGGTGCACATCTTCCCGGCCCCGAGCTACATACACTCTGCGGCCATCAGAGCCAATCCTCTCCATGGCCCATGGCCGACTTCGCGCCGAGAAACAACCATGTCGTCTCAATTGAGGGCATCCTTACCAAAGGATGTCATGACCGACGGCTTATCGGATTGGGAGAATGGCGGACAGTCGAAATCGTCGACCAGGGGCCAGCTGTGGGAAGATATTCTACTTGGCTCGAAATCGGTTGATGTCAAGAAGCGCGCCATCATCGATCGCATCAAGCGCAGAGAGCGAAAAGAAAAGGCACCCGCTATTATGGAAGGCCTGCTACATCTGAAAGAAAGCCAACCCTGATCGCCATTGGGCGCGACAGTACGCGACTACAGCAAAAGCTATGTCTAAGCCCTGGAGACGATGTCCTTCAAGGACCGATCAAACCCGCCTCTCGCATCTTGGCAGCGATTGCGCGTTGACTTTACATCCAATTTTACGGCCATAAGCCAAGCCTAAGAACATCTGACAGCTACAGCCTGATCGGAGGTCCAGCGTTTCGCGCTCAGTGAAGCGTTCCGGAAACGAAAATTCCGATGAAGGCGACGATTTGGCACGAGGCTCATTGGCGAGATGGGATGGCACCCAGTCGAAGTACGGCTCTTGATTGGATCAGATTATCGGACGGAACTGTTCGAGTTTCGCTTGCTTAACCTAAAATTATGCGGGCCAGGGCGATGCATTGAATGGGAGACCCTGAGTACAGGGTCGAAAGAACACCACAAGACGACCGTTGACATTTCGGTATGTCCCGACATCAGATTGCAAGAATTGCAACGACAGTCGAACGATGACGAAGGTGTCTTTGGTGACCGTCGCTAGCAGTGCAACGCAGTCGGGCTCCCTGACGACGAGCTGCAGATGCTTTTCTTGCCATAGGAACACTTGAGTCGGCAATACGGCAGTAGTCAGCTGAACACAAGGTCGAGACTCTGACGTTGGAGTTGGACTTTTGGTACCGGGGTCCATTCAAGGCGTGGCGTCATTACAGAGCCACAAAAACAAGGAATAGTGGCAACCTGCAATATCCCAGATCGGCCACGACGCGAGGACCTGACCAATCAGCGGTGCAAACTGGATAGTACGTCACAATAGAGCCAAACCCACGTTCCTTTTCCACCGCCAGCTTGTTCGACAATTAAACAAATCTGGACGCGACTAGACGAGCCGACCAACCGTGGCGCGGGGGATGCTTGCGCAAGCCAGGGTCCATTTTCACCCAATTTTCTCCTACAGAGCCACAGAGCCACGAGAAATATGAACTTGGGCCCGGGCTGGGCCACGTTGATGACGTCGCACTCGTTGGCTTGCACCGGGACCCTGACTTACACGGCATTCTTGGCCCCGGACGGTGTGCCTAGTGTGGTACTGTCACAGATCACAGCACACATCATGCGAATTCCTGTTTCTTGGGGCCGGCCCAGGGGTCGTGAGACGTTTGTGCTTATATGCGGACGGCCTCTCCCTTTCCTCTCACGAACATGTTCATCACATCAGTACTCCTATCGCCAATTGTCTCCTACAACTAAGCCCTACACCAAACACCCACACCACACCTCAGCCATCCGGCAGTAGTCCATCTTCATAATCAACATGGCTGTCACCGGCTTCATTCACCACTTTGGTACCTTTTTGCTCCTTGTAGCAACGATTCTTCTGGTCATCACCAGCATCTCTGCTCCAGTGGTGCACAACATCTCACTGTTGACCGTCAATCTGGGCGACACTTCCGCCGGCAATGAGATCACATTTGGTACCTTTGGATACTGCGTCCGTGGCGGCTCTGACTAGTAAGTAATATCACACAGCATAGAACCAAACTCAAAAACTAACTCGTCTCCCAGTGGCTCCGACCAGTGCAGCCGTTCCAGGATCGGTTACTCACCCACCGATATCATCGCCGAGGCCGATGCCACCCAGTACTCCAACCTGTCCTCCAACGTCGCCGAGGGCTTGACCCGGGTCATGGTTCTCCACCCCGTCGCCGCAGGCGTCTCCTTCATCGCCTTCATCCTCTCCGTCGGTGCTGGCATGTTTGGCTCCCTCTTCGCCGCCCTTGTCTCCGGCGTTGCCTTCATCATCACTATCGTCGCCCTCATCTGCGACTGGGTCATGTTCGCCGTCGTCCGCCGCAACGTCAACAGGGATGGCAACGGCAGCTCCGCCCACTACGATGTCGCTCTCTGGACCCTCCTGGCCGCCGCCATCTGCCTGCTCCTCGGCACCGTCATCGTCTTCTTCACCTGCTGCAGCGGCCGTCTTCACAAGCGCCGTCAGCAGCGTTCCAAGGTTGACAACTACTCCCCTCCTGCCACCCACACTACCTACCGCCGTCGCCGCTTCTGGCAGCGCAGCAGCCGCTACTAGACCATTTAAACCGGAGAGTTTAGTTGTGGATATCTAGTTGTCTCTTGTCTTTGAGACTACCCAATGTTTTCTTAGCATGACGCGTTTACGAAGATGGCGCCCATGAATCTAGCGCAGGCGTAAAATGGGAGGTAATCTGGGAGTTTTACCAGGTGATGGATTGGACGAATACGCTCAGATATGATACCACGCCTGCATCGGCAAGGCATGACTTTTTCTTGTATACTGTTTACTATACCTAATGAACCACTTAACCAACATCACCTTCTCCATTGTGCTTGTTTCTCGCCCGTTTTTTCAATCCAGGGGAAAGGTAACCAATGGCAATTATCTTCACGCCTGCAGGACAACTGAATGATGTTACCGTTCACCTACGGGGTCATTACCCAATGTTATGTCGCACTGGTGAGGATTAACCCCGCAAAATGCCATACATCTTACCGGTACTTCGCCGGCCGGAACTACTCGGCCCGCCGAATAGTAGGCGACAGACTACCGTCGGACTCTGACCATGGGTTCCTTTCAACCTCGCCTACTTTACCTGAAACGGTGTACCTTACATTACTTGTTGGATAGCAAGACAGCAGGGACCTTGCCTCAGCTGATAGTCGTGCCGTTGCCATTCCAATCCATACATCTATCGGTACCAATCGCCGTTCTTTTCTCGCGCCCTCTTTCCGAGCGGTTTTGCACCTGATGTTCTCTCTTCCCTCCCACGGCGTTTTTTCCCTGCCTACTAAATTGGCTTGCCAAGAAGGCCCCGACTAGAGTAGAGGCGCCTTAAGCTGAGGTATCTAGGCCTGGGTTCGATCTCTCCTGTTGCTTTCTTTAGCCGTTAGACACAGCGGGATCTAGTCACGTGCCAACTTCATTCCTCGTTGTAATAGCATGCCGTGTACGCTACTAGAGTAGGTTGAACAGGTCGATAGCATAACCCATAACGCGCGAGTTAATATCATTCCAAAGGATCTTTAACTTTTCTTCTATTCGGCTCCTAGTCAGAACGTTTGATTCGCGGAAATCATTGGTCCACGTTGGATGACTATGCCATTCGTGCTTTGACTCACGAGAAATCTATCTCCTTCATTAAAAAGGTACCCAGACCATGCCATTCGCTGTACAAAGGTTGTTGTTCCAGACTCGCAGAGCATCCTACTACACTGCCGGGTGGGTAGCATGTGGGGGAACCATTCAGGACCCCGGTTCCTGAGGCATGTGACCTGGACGCCTTCTGGTGCGGTTGCCCTCAATGCGCCGCATCCTTGACGAAGACGCCCCTGCTGTTCGTGATTCCTCCGGTTGGGCTGCCGGGTCGAACCTCATGTTCAAGGAAGCAACACTCGGGCACGCGGGTCGTATAGAGAAGTCCCTCGCCGCATTGGGCTTGAACTGCAATATTGCACTGAAGTCGGTTAAACGCTGTAATGTCTATGATAAGAGAGACTCGTAAGCTGCGGTCAATGCCACGCCACCGAAGCAAAGAGACTAATCATGACTTTTCAGACGTACAGCCCCGAATTGAAAAAGCGCAAAGGTGATCTTCTCGATGAGATGTATCCGTCGATTCTCTTTGATCTCATCACCGCGCCTGAGAAGTCTGCTTCATCATTCAACCGACGGGCTGCGTGCCCGCCTCCGCCTTACAATGCCCCAGCTGTATACGGAAAAATAGACACGTTTGCAAACCGACCCCGCCTCCTCCGGCTCGCAATCCACCAGCGCCATACAGGGATACTAAGACGCCTGCTATGCCGGCTCCGGCTCGTCCGCCTCTTAATCAGCCAGCTGCCAGAATGGCTGGTCCGGCTTCTGGCTGGCAAGCTGCTCCTCATAGAGCCAGCAGGCCTGCTCAGCATGCTCAGCCTCCTCCTCAGTTTGCCGCACCTTGTGCCCCCGCGTGGGTCCCTCGACCTCCTGGCCAGCAAGCTTCTCTGTACGGTGCCGGTCCGCCTGCTCCACCTCGCGTCAGTTCCCACAACACTGGGACACCCGCTCAACTGCCCGAGCAACGAAATGTTCCCCAGCGTGCTGGACGGGTAAACGGCCCCTTTCCACAATCTGGTCAACAGCAAATTGTTTTCGAAAACGTTCACTTCGTCAACCTCGCTGGCCCAGGGAACAAGGTTTACACGGCTGGAAAGCCGCACGAGAATAGGATCTCCCGATACAAGAGACAGAGAGGACTAGTATAGATCCTTGGTACATGAACAGAAGCTAGGCACAGAGTGATGATCGCTCTGAAAGGCCGGGTATGAGGGATGTACCATTGACTTGTAGTCTGCTGGTAACCTTATACGATTGTGGTGTGGTTGCTACGTGTTTCCCCCTCTTACTTGCTATTCTGTGTCTTCTCTTTCAGAGTGTTGATGATTCTTATACTTTTTCACGTTTTCGAATGCATGGATAGAAAGTCATTTCACGTATGCCGCTCTAAGGCCATCGAAATAAATATTCAAATCAATGATTCCAAAGTATACCTTGTCTCTGGGCACTGGCGAACCACTCGAAGGCCGTTCCAATACCTTCAAACCCCAGCGGTCTTTGTAGCTTTATAAGTCGACTACCACTACAGCAGATGAATGCAGGCATTTGCCGCCTGGGTTCTCGCGCCGTGCTAACCGAGTTTGTATCCTTTCCGAGGCATTTCCTCGACGTGCATTTTGGGGGGGGGGGGGGGGGGGGGCCCAATGGTTAAAGAGGGGCGGCGGGGGGGGGGGGGAGCGCGCCCCCTGGCCCCGGCGCGGCGGCGGCGCACAGCTACCGAATATGGCGCGTCGCGCCGGCCGCAGGTGGGTGGTGGGGGGTGGGGGGGGGGGGGGGGGGGGGGGGGGGGTTCCCATATGTAATGAATGGTCGCGCATAGGTGCAGTATCGTCTGCCTCTGAATCCGGGCGTAGGCGCCTGCAAATACATCAATATTGTGCTTGGCAGCATATCACGCCACCTTCAAGGCGGCAGCAAATTGACAGGGTACTTGTGAGATAAGTCTCTTTCATCACACTGGCCGATGCCTGTCTCGCATAGTTACCCATTTGCCGTCAATTTAGTCACAGCTACAATGAATTCCAAGGTCGTGATGAAGTAAGCTACGAGCCATGAAAGATAATACAGAGGCTTGCCGCTCCGAAAAGACAGGAATCGGCTACGGAAGGTGACCAGCCTAATTAGTTACCATAGGCTCAGATATCAGACACGTTCTGAGCCAAGTTATTCCCGAGGTATATATGCAGCCGTGTCTCTATCAACATCAATAATACCTACGTGCTCGTTCGTCTTCATTCATCCCCTTATTCCACCTTTATCGGACGCTCTTGGACATCAGGGCATCATTGACTGGCCTTTGTAAACTCCACCCGTCGAGCCCACAGCTAATACAGTCTAACACTTACATTCAGCCATTTATTTATCGCGCTTCATTCATTTTAGTTGCCTTCCAGGCGCTGCAGTCGTCCTAACCGTCCAACATTGGTCTGTCGCTATTGTCTCCAAACGCGTCTTGCGCTCTAGCCCAGCCATAGGCTGACGCACAACACTCCTCATGCCCTTTGCCCGAGCCACTACAAGTGAACGCGTCAGCCTGGTGTCTTTGATTAACAGTCGGCTATTCAAGATAGATCCATTAGGTTTAGCCAGACGCAAACCAGATATTGCTACGCTTGGCACCGACAAGCGACCAGGTATTCCACTGTACATGTTTCAAACGAATTGGACCTCATTAAAATAAAAGTCAGAGAGCGACAAATTTATTGAAAGCAGGAACCCAACTTCTGTCCAGCGCGTAGAACAAGAATCCAAACTCCGCGCTCTTTCCCTCTATGGCTGAAAGTTGCTACGCAATAACGCCTCTCAGGTAGGTGATGTAAAGTGACACGGCTATCCTTACTCCGCAAAATGATATCCAACCCCACTAGTTGCCTCTATCAAAGGTTGAGCAACTGTATTGTTCACCGAGTTTGACAATCAAATTGTCCTTCCAAGGGAGAATCTTCGTGTCTTTCGCGGGCATTGGGTGTGGAATCCGCTTCTTGACATTGACATCTCTGTCACGAATCCCCTCTTCGCACTTTCCATTGAAGACTTTGCTTCTCAACAATCCGAGGGCGTCGGACATGCACGTCAACTTCTTGTCGGTGACAGAATGGGAGCAGAGGCAAGACCTGAAGCCAGCAACGTTCCCATCGGGGCAGCAGTAGAAGATACGATCGAGGTTACAGGGCGCTCCGGCTTCCCTTGCCGCCCTTGCTGCTAGCCAAAGTATTCCACGGGGTTTGATACAAAACTTCCCGTCATTCTTCCCATCTAGTCCGTCGAATAGGACTTCGTCGTCGGTTCGGTATTCAGGGAGCCTCTCGCATATATTCGCATCGTTGTCTCCAATGCAGTCGATGAGTCTGTCAATCGTGAATGTTTTGAGAACGCACTGACTCATTGTGAACCATGTCCATGCTTCTCCTGCGGATGGCTTGCAGTCCTCAGGTATTTTGATGCTCGAGCATGAGTTCTCCTTCCTGGCTTCAAGGTGATGACCAAGAGCATGTTGACCAATGCCGAGCAGGAGGATGGCGTAGGTTAACTGCATCGCAAAAGACGAAAGAAAGACGATTGGCAAGGAGCGAAGGATTTTGGTATGTTCCTGAGAACGACAGTCAATGATAGTATGTTGACGCTTTTAGATGGATGACAAGATAGCTGAGGCCGACGCTGTATGGATTCTAATGAGGGATGTCTTGTTTTATCAACTCTGGAAGTATGAACTTGGCGAACACATCTCGTGGGACCAAGGCTAGGCTTTTCGGATTTACGAGGAGCTTTTTGCACCTGCAGGCGCCCTAGTATCTAGTGAGGCGAAGCCAGATCTGAGTTGATGGAACATCAAGCTAATGCCTTACGGCGAACTGCAGAGTGGATGATGGGGTTCGATTCTGAAATTAAAGAGGGAAGGCAGTGCCCCGGGGCTGTTCCAACATTGTGTGACCCCAACCTACACATCAGGCTCTTTTCTGCTTTATTTAGATCCAAATACCTCGGCGCTTCGCGGGAGCCCCTCCACCATCCCTCCTTCAAGATTTAGTCAGACAAATCCAAAGACAATTCTATCAGAGTACACAGGCTCTCCGAATCCATCGAGATATCGAGGTTCGCTGTACATCAGCCCCTTAGCCACCTCGGTATGTTATTTATTGCTATCGTGCGGGACTCACACTGGATGCAAGCCAGTCCGGAACGAGTCAAATTCCCATTGAGGTGTGACACACCATTCGTTCCACGTCCAATGATGGCCTGGAGACATCTCTCCAGTCAATCAAAACACCGTTAATCACTCGGCTCAGTTCCAATTCTCACTACACCATCCGCAGGAGTCTCGCCTGAAGGCGGCCTGTTTGCTGACAGCCTGATCTTCAAATACACCATAAGTACGCAGCCTGCCTCTTGGTACCACACACCCTTGAAAACGATGGGTTCTTGGGGGTTCAGACGAAGACTGGATCAGGCTTCACAGGGTCATGGGAATTATCAACGTGGATCATATATACCTCGACTACGGCTCCTCCCGCCCTGGTCTACATTCATTGTTTTCTTAACGCCAAGTCCATTCATTCGCAACCTCGTGATATTATCTCATATCAGGGCTCTCAACATGTCTTCAAGTGGCAAGGAACTGAACTTCTTGAGCGTCATTGCCTATCCCAAGGCCCCCATCAAGCCCAATGTCGAGTATGCTTTGCCAGCTCCGCGTTATGAACCATCAGCTAACGCAATGTTTTCACAATATAGTATCGTCGCTGTCCACGGACTAAATCTTTCGGGTGCGGAGGATCACAGCTCCGAGGCATGGACCAGTGGTGGCAAGATGTGGTTGAAGGACTTCCTCCCTTCAAAAATGCCCCAAGCCCGCATCATGATGTATGGCTACGATGCTATCCCTGCCTTCCGCAAGTCGCGTGAGGGTATACAAGAATGGGTTGTTAGTTTGCTAGAGTTCTTAATTATGGAACGCGATGTATTGCATCAACCATTCCTTATATTAGTCAGTGAGTCATGACTTTGCTGATGATATTTAGGCCGAACCTGATCGACCGCTCATATTCGTGTGCCACAGTCTTGGGGGAATAGTGGTGAAGAGAGTAAGTCAATGTCACAAGCGCAAGCCAACGGAATGAATAGTGGAATGCTGACGGTTGATGGCTTGAGGCTATGACGGAAGCGAGACAGAACGAAAGATACAAGGCAATCTACGACGCAACATACGGCATGGCATTCTTTGGGACACCTCACAATGGCAGTAAACTCGCTTCACTCGCTTCAGTTGTTGCCAATGTTTTCAGTGTAGTTCTTCGCAACCCTCAACCAAGCTTCATGGAAGCGCTGAAAAGGAATTCTCTTTTTGCCGACGTCATAAGAGATGACTTTAGACATGGCCTGGAAAAGTTCCACGTGTTGAGCTATTATGAGACTATTCCGCCCGAGAACATGACTGGGCTAGTATGTATGCCTCTTCTAGAAAATGTCAAATTGGCTAATCCCGTAACTTTCAGGTCGTCGACAAAAAGTCGGCCGTGTTGGGTCTTCCAAGCAGTCAGGAAACGCCTATCTCTCTTGCGGGCAAGGATCATTCGGCGCTATGCAAGTTTGACAACGAAGAGAGGCTAGTGATTGCAAGAAGGTCATGTTTGGTATATCAAAGCTATGTGCTGCTGCTGTTGCTGCGAGGTTGAGATTGGCTGAGGAAGCGAAAGCGCTCGCTGACCTCCAAGAGTTGCGCGCTCCATCGGCAGAACCAACGACCAGGGAGGGAAATCGCGACTGTACGTAGACTCTGAGGCTCAAGGTAGACGCGGAAGCGGCCTGCTGATAGTAGATAGTGCAGAATCGAATGGACATGGAGCAGGAGCGACTGACAGAAAAAGGGGAGCAGCTCCGGCGCGGTTAGTTACATTGAATGCTTTATCATCGTGACTGGACGTCTGATTTGCCGCAGATTGTTTGGATATCTTGGTATCAGGCTTTCCAGAACTAAGAAGACGTTATGACGAAGTGTTTTCAAATGATCAACATAGCCTCCCAGATTGTTGGCTATTCCGGACCTCCCAGTTCATGGAGTGGGAAGTCCCAGGCAAGGACCACTCGTTCCTATCAGTTGAAGGAAACCTTGGCTCAGGAAAATCGGTCCTCATGAAAAAGGCTGTTCAGTATTGTGAGCAACGCAAAGAGCAACCCGATAGTCGGCTGACTCTGAATTTCTTTTTCGACGCGAAGTCTCGTGACAGACAACCATTTTGCAGTTCAGGTGTAGGCATGTATCGGACACTTTTGTATCATGCAATCGCTCGGTCCGAATGCCTTCCTACACATCTTCTCAAGGACTTCCTTAGGGCATGGAGGATGCCAGGCCACTCGTGGACTCAGTTTGAGCTGCAAAGCAACTTGAAAAGCCTATTTCTGGAAGTCACTTCCCCACAAGGGGGCAATGCCGCCGTGCGGAAGATCTTTATTTTCCTCGATGCTCTCGACGAATGGGACGATAACGATCGCAAACATTCTTCAGGGTTCGAATTCTTCGAAAACCTCGTTCATCACGGCATACCTCTCAAAATCTGTTCGTCAACACGCCCTCGTTTCTCCCCAATCTCGAGAGGATCTGTGATCGAAATGGAGAGTTACAATAACGAAGATATCGGCCGTTACCTTGAAAAGACTATCTGGGGACGCCATATGAACGATGAACGCCGCGAGATCCTCATCGAGAACCTCAGTATGAAGGCCAATCATAACTTCATGTGGCTTGTGCTGGTCGACTATGATCTAGACAACTGGCCTGCGATACACATTGCCACCACAGAAGACATTCTGAAAAGAATCCAGAAAGTTCCGGAAAAACTGAAGGATTTGTACGATGAGATCCTCGAAAGGCTTGCCAGAAAATCCGATGACGCCATGCGGGAAGAGAGCTATTTCCTCCTCCAACTCATAGCTTTCGCTAAGGAGGCTCTATCGCTTCAAGAAGTGATGGAAGCTGTCTCAATACTCATTTACCCAGATACGTGGCAATCACAGCTGGAACACTTCAAGACCTTGGACTTTGCCGCATGTATCCGAACGTGGTCGAGAGGCCTCGTCGAGGTCATCCGACCCGGTTCTCGAGAAATACTTGGGCCGGGTATTGTGCAGTTTGCGCATACATCGATCCATCGCCTTTTGGTGGACGATTGCGGGCTGAAATATTTCGACCCGGCTGCCCAAGACCAGGCGACTAACAAAATAATGTGCCATTATCGTATGTTCGAGCTTTGCGTCAAATACCTGGAACGCGATACATTAGCCCAACCAGGACTGAAGCTACACCAATACGTTATGTCTTTTTGGATGGAACATGCCCGCAACAGTGGCGAGCGTATCGATGCGAAGCAATTCGTTTTTCCAGGCTTTCTCAAAAAGTGCAACGCGTCCACCAAACACATCGCTCTATCATCTCGAGAAAACATGATCCGGCGCAGTAACATGGGCAAATTCCGTGGCTGTGGATCGATAACCTACGAGGAGCGACTCATATGTCTGCTGGCCGCTGAGGGGTGCACTCAGCTCCTAGTCGTGCATCAAGGGTGTACTCTCTGTTATGGTGCAACAACGGCTCTTGGGGAGCAAGAAAGCATGCTTGGTTTAGGATGTGCGTTGCTTCAAGCTGCTGAGCACAACAGGGTACAGACCGTCCAATATCTTGTCCGACAGTTGAACTGCGACGTCAACTTCAGAGGTGGCGAGATCAACACAACGCCATTGTGTCAAGCTGTTCGATCGGGTTCGGTGGACATGGTCAACACATTGCTGGATCTGGGCGCCAAAGTGGATGTGTGTGCCGCGAGAACCTTCAAGTCACCTTTGAATACAGCAGTCGGCTACAATGATGTGACGATTGCGAAGATACTTCTCAGCCACCCAGGAGTTGATCGCCGTCGTTTGCTTTGCCAGCCCGACATGTATGGCCAGTACGCTTTACATATCGCTGCGTATCATGGGTTGGCTTCTATGGTAGAAACTCTTTGCGAGCCTTGTGAAAGAGACGAAATTGGCTACATCTTAGACTTGAGCGACAGAAACGGTGAGACAGCCTACATGGTGGCCGTGAGAAAAGGTCATGACACAGTCGCCGCGGAGATATTGAAGCGGCTGCTTGACAGTTAGTAAGCCTCAGCATGATTGTGGAGGAAGCCTAGTTGAATACGGTGTTTTATCGAGATGAATAAAAGTGTAGACGATTGTTCATGCGTTCTGTGAGATCAAGGTACGATGTCCTCACTTCAAAGCATAGTCTGGACTCGCCTAGCGCGCTTCTCGGCATATGGCGAAGCCGGGGAAAGAAGACTAAGCCAAGTACGAGGGGAGCGCACAGCAAACCTTTCGAATCGCAGCTGCAGGTTATTCTTCGCACGTGCAGACGCCCAAAAGCTAAAGCTGGATGGCTGGGCAGCGAGAGTAGAGAGAACGACGAAAATGAGCCCTCTCTCTCAGACCGCAGTGGTCAAGAGTACCGTGTCGGTGCGCAGAGTACTAGAGATGACTGCCCGACGGGAGTCAAGCCATCTGAACTGTATCGTTCACGAGCTTTCCTCATTCAACCTAGGATATCCAAACATGGTCTAGAACGGGTTGGCCTCAGCTCTTGTTACAAGGAACGCTACCTGAGGTTATTTGATATCTGTCTCAGTAGCTTGTCGTGGTTAAGAAAAAGTGGACATCTCAGGAACGCAATTGATTAATGGGATGGCTGTGGGCGTAGGGAATGCTAGATCATGCCTGGGAGAAGAGACATGCGCAGATAGGACACTCCCGGGCACGATAAGATTGGGAACGGAACGAGAGACGTCAACGTTCCAGTTGAGCCCGTCACTGAGGTTTGGGTTCGTGGGATGTTGGGCCGTGATCTACACATTGTCTTTCACGTTTTCGCCGCCATGAACTGCGCACGAACCGTGAGAAACATGCCATTTAGCGGACCAGATTGCCAGAATGCCAAATATCCTGAAAACCTTTACTTTTCCCCAGGTTTTCCGGTAAGACAGTAGCATCCGGTTCACGGAATTGGTAGCGATCAGAGATTGAAATCAAGCCGAGGGTCAGCGGGATTCGCAACGGGCAAACGGTGACGGCGGCGGCGACGGGATTCGTGTGCGTTGTGGAGTTGAATGACCACGGGGTGGGGCCTGCTGGCTGGAGACATTTGAAGAGCTTGTCCTGCTGGGAGATTCATGACTGGAGTGGCGGCGTAGTGGAGAATGGGAAGACGGTCTCCGGCTCGGGTGTTCGGCGCCTGGGAGAGGCTTGGAAGGTCTCCAGTGACGGAACGCCGAGAAGCCTGTGGCTTTCCTTGACGAATGTATTTCGTAGCGTTTGGTTGGTGGGCAGAAACTTGGATAAGAAACTTGAACTCTTCACATTTTCCAGGGACAGCAAGATCGGAGGCCGCGTAACGCGGAATGGTCCCCAACTGTGGCTGAGAACGAATCACTGCGCAGCTTCCAGAAATCCACTCGATGTGTGGCGCGGGGTGGTTTACGCTTTGGCCAATCACGGGCAAGGCGCCTGCTCCACCCATTTTGTTCAGGTCGTCAGGGTCCCTTCCGGTGGGAGAATGCAGAATGTAGAATACCTAGGTACCCCACCTCCGCCCGCCGCATCGCCGCAGTTGTCTTCCGGCCCTCAACAGTGATGGGATCTGTCCCAATGGAGTATAGCCTATAGTAGGCGCAGAAGGGGTAGGGATGCTTACGAATGATTTCAGCGAGAGAGAGAGGGAAAACTGCCTGGCTGTGGGACGCTGCTGGTCCCCTTTCCAGCTGAGAGAAGAAGGCGCAAGAAAGGGTGCCCATTGGAGTGGATACCAGCAACGGTGGCCCATGGAGAAAAGGCAAGAAAAGGGTTCTTGTTGTTCTTCCATGGGGCATGGCACCCGCGGGCCAACAGACTTTCCGGATAGAATGAAAAGGCCTCAAATCAGACGTGCCCGATCTCTACGGAGTACGGAGTAGTGTACATACACTTACACACTAGGGGACTCTTCATCGCCTAGTACCGATACAGCTTTGTGGGCAAGGGAGCGGTAAATGAGAGTTCTAAGCATAGTTGGATTTAGAGTGCGGTCCCCCTCTAGGCTCTGCGACGCTGCGCGTTGGGCTGAGCCGGGGTAGGCTTGCGCCGCTTGCCAAGCTCGGCGCCAAGAGCTAGTACAAACGTGGACGGTTGAGGCTTGGGAAGTCGACGACTTGTCAGTCTTGAAGTTAGTATTGCTAGCTAACCTCATGGTCTGCCGTGTGCCGTGTGCCGGTCAGCAACAAGTCACGGGGAGCTGTGTCTTGTTAGCTGGCCTCACGATGTTGCTTTGCAGTAGTCGTGAGATGGTTACGTTAGTGAGTAAAAGAGTCAGTCGTCTCCCTGGAGGCCAGTGAGGGAGCCGGCAATGAGACACCGAGACATCGGGTGAGCGCCCAACCGTGGGGTTTGATTGGCATCGCTGGATCGTCGGAACGCTAATTGATGTGGGAAACGAGGTGACATTGGGGACAGTGACGATTAACCCGGATACTCTCGGTTGCGTTGTATGAAGTATGGAGACGTTGAGCCTTGAGGGGAGATGTTTGGGTTCCCACAAGAACAACCTTCTCTCTTTCCTGGTTCTCTTGCTTTGATTCTTGATGACAGCTGCGTCTGGACAGGTTTCTGGTGTTGCACGAGTAGTGAGTCCCTAACGCCAATCGTGGCAGTTGACTGGGGCCAGTAGCAAGAAAGCTTTTTATTCCATCTTGCTTACTAGAGGCTGGGGCACGTCATGAGTCGACACCCATGAGAATTGTCAGAGCCTGGTGGATGAGAATAACACACGGGCGATAGCTCGAAAAGAATCATCAACAACAACACCAACAGAAAAAAAAAGTCACAGACAATTGCCGGACAGGTGCCATATTGCGATGTGATGGGGATCGCGGTTTTGGGACAGCGACTACGAGGTGCTAAATGGCGTTAAACCCTGGAAGTCTTTTCCCGGTTGGGAAAGGCGCGGCTGGGTACCTCTTCAAGCCCGTGGGACGGATATGACCGACCGGCCGGGTACACCTGGCGGGGGGCCGCCCCTTTGAGATGCTACGCCGATGATCAATTCGGTCACTGGTGTCAATCACTGTCAACTAATCCCTTCCTCTGCACTCAGACATGCAACATGGTAGTAGAGTGATTGACAAAACTGACCTCACCGGTCGCGGCCTTCCAACTTTCTCTCCAAGTCACTCCCGTCCAAATGAGGGAGGGCAATAGCACTAGACGATATAAACAACGGGGATGCCGCCTGCCCGCGAGGTTGACACAGTCCACGGTTCGCATCGTAACTTGGGAAAGAACAACCTTGACCACCACTTGCACCGCACCTTCCTTGAACTTCTATCTGTACTTGAATGCCATCACTCCTCCCCACTTTCGGCATAACGAACCGCACGTCAACAGTCAACGCAAACCACAACATTTTGACTCGAGATCCCCGCTTCCAAACTTGAAAAATATACTTTTCCGAGATCTTCGTATCTTCTTCTCTGACAAGACACACCTCCTCGACTCGACATTCCGCAACATCCAAGCTTCTCACCTATTCTCGAACCTTGCAACCTGCGAATACCTTCCCACATCCATTCTACCTATCCCCGCAAAGCCGTTTCAGCTTCGACTCTCGACGACAACAGCTTGGGCCAAGAAGATACTCTTTGTCAAGAATTCGTACTCGGCGTCTTCAGTTTCTTCTTCACCATCATCTTCGGCACAAAACCCAGCTTGTATCCCCTACCGCGCGCTTGTTCAGTGGAGACCACTTTGGACCCCTCGACGTCTTCGTCATTCTGATTCTGCCACTCGACGCAAAAGCAATATCATTGGGACATCCAGTCAACCCGCCCAGAGAACATACCACAGACAGCTGAGCGCTTGGTTAACACGGATTCAACTCTCCGTCCCGCTGCGCTGCGCTGTCTTGCCCAGACTCCCCGCCTATCCTACCGCCTACCCAAGACAGGATCATTCCTCAAGAGGGTTCCACCGCTGACGCTCTGGCTCTCAACCGAGCGGAATACCGGCACACATCGCACCAATGGCCTTCGTCGCCCAAGGTAAGCCATGCCATTTTCCCATGTTTGCCATGTCTCTCGGTTTCTTGTCCGTCCCCCAAGCACACCAATCTCCATTCCTTGCCTCTTCTTTTCCTTCCATTTTCTTAACCCACTCAGTCCCTCCTTCCGTTTGCTCGGAACCCTTGTCGTCCACTCGTCATTCCACGATGCTCAAGAGAGGAAACTGTCCTCCGCCGCCGGGATTCCCGTGCTCTCTCTCGCAGAACGGAGGCTCCTCCACCTTCAGGCCACTCTACATTTCTCTTCACTTGCACCACTTGTTAGTGTTTTTTTTTTGTTGGGACTATTTTTTCTCGGCAACTTTCCATGAAAGCCTGAGAATGGTGTGGCACCATCAGAGTTCGGAACATGACACTGCCAAACACCAATCGTCATGACTTCCATGTGCGCATGGTGTGCCCGAGTCCCTCATGCAGGTCATCCCAGGCTGCCGCTGGCTGGCTATAAGCTGCTGGCTACTGCAAGTTGCTGCTCAAGTGTTTCTGCAGACCAAGCAAAACAACCAGCCAAAAGCATCCGTCCAAACTTCACCGCTGGTGTGTGTCTCTGAGCGAGTTTAGTGCTCCGGCTTCTGCATTTCTTTCTATGTCTAAGGCTGCATGTCCTCGAACATTTGTTAGCTCTTCCCCGCCTCTCGTGCCGTACTACCCTGCCACCCCTAGTCACTGGCTGGCATTGCTGTGCTTTGCTGCGGCCCAGTCATCTCATCGCTGCTGCTGCGCTCGACTGTGCCTTTGCAAGCGGAAGGCCGAGCCCGAGCAAACGAACAGCGCAGCACCCAGCGATGGAGCGAGAGCGAACAAGAAACACCAGGGCACGCAAGTCAGACCTCGTAGGGATCCCCTCCAAGTCTCCTACACCGGGGCCATTCGTTACCCGCCGTGCACAGGAAATCCAAGAGGCGGAACGACGGTTACGTGTTTCCAGATGCGGCAAAACAAGAAGAGCCAAAAAAGCATAGGCCAGTGGCCACTCTTCTTCTGACTGCAACCTGCTCTAAATACCGTGACTATCCCACCCCTCCCCATCTGAAGCCCCATTCCCGCGGTTAGTTCCAGCTACTGTGTTCCATTCACACTATTGAGCGAAAAGAGAACGCCCAGAGGCGGATTACCGGTGCGGAGTCTCGCATTCTCATTTGCTCATAACTGCTACTGCTGCTGCTGCTCTCGTCTCGTTCCTGACCTTGCCGTTCCGGTCTCATTAACTGGTCTCGTCTTATTCGGGAGGGGATTCGTAATTGCCCAAGACGCTAAAGGATCAAACGGCAACACTCATCACCGAACTGCCTCAGCAAAGAAATCCCGACGGCGTCTCGCCCTGTTCTATTTTCCTCTCACCTTTCTATCTCCCGAAACTTCTTTGTTCCTTCCTCTCTATTATCCAGAATTCCAGTTATTCTGCAACAGTTTTCTGTTACCTACCCACAACAAAGGGAGCAGCCTCTCTCACCCACCTGCGGTCTACTATTTGCCCCCCGGGACTCTACCCATCTTATTTACCACCACCCTTCCAACGCTTTTATTCCACTGAATACTGGCCCCAAAAAACTCCCCGCTGTGACCGCTACCTGACCTTCCGCCACTTTATTACCGTCGATCTTCCACCATCGGTTCCCCCACAATAAACTAAGATCGTATCTTCGTGCAGAGCCTCACACAATGACCAACACACCACGAAGTCCGTCGACCAAGAGCCAGGCTAGTCTTCGAGACACTGGCTTCCCTGAGCCTTTCAACGGAGGTAAGTTTCTTGGAATGAGGCGCAAAATCTATGGTCCATTTACTAAGCAATATAGAACGCAACACTACGCTCCCGCATCCCGACGCCAACCTTTCGCCCAACGCAGTCATCTCGCAGGAGGATCTCGCTGGAAATCGAGCCCGTACACGACGTTCTTTCCTGCAAAAGCATAGACGCACCATCAGCCATGGACGCATCACTCCTCAAATGGAGGCACTCTACAGCAGCGAAGCCCTAGCCGAAGCCGAAGCCGCCATCCTCGAAGCAGACGTCCCGTCCAACACCAGCCAGTCTAGTTTGCCGGCCGCGGGACGCATGAGCAGAGACGATGCCGAGAGTATGCTTTCCCACAGCGGTGGCGACCTTTCGCCCGTCACGTCGGCTCAGAGCAACGGACGCAAAGGCAGCCTGTTTAGAAAGCTTGGCTGGAAGAAGCCGTAGAGTCACAACATCTGCGATACGAAAGTGAGGAATCACGAAACCAGGCGGCGAACTATCGACCCGATGTACCGCGCACACGATTAAAACGGCCGAAAAGAATTTGTAAAACAGACACACCACAGCGCAAGCGCGGAGTTTTCTTTTGACCTGCAACATGGGGTTGGGCACAACCAAAGGCGGGCTTGGTATTTTGATTTTGGGAATGGGATTGGACACGGAGTATAGGGATGGTACAGCACTAGGCCATCGTCATAGAGGATATTGGTCCTCTGAATTTTCACCTTCACAGACGATCCTGACGGGTGGAAATGTGCATCACGAGGGACAATAACCTACGACGGTGAACAGACTATCGTTAAAACATAGTAATTCTATCGTTTAGTTGCAAGTTTCTTGCACTATTCACTTGGTCCTTTCTTCTGCCCTTTCAACGCGATTAACGATCCCTCTTAGTGGCTTTGGTTCTGTGTTGGACGCAAGCTGCTCTGGTTCTTGAGGTATTCCCAAAGTAAGAGGTCCATGGTCCAGATCCACGGTATGTGAGATTTACCACCAGACACCGGCCATCGCACAGCTCGATTCTCTATCCACATGGAAACCATCCCGCTCGCAGCCACAAAACCAGCTCACCTCATTCCCCCGCGGAATCCGACGTCATCCCCCTATCACAACTTGACATCCGAGCTTAGCTGCCCCGGTAGGTGGTATAGCTATACGGGCTCAACAGCAGCGGAACGTGATAATGCTGGCCCCTCTTCACCGTGAAAACCACCACGGCCTCGGGGAAGAAGGTCTCGTCCTCGCCGCCAAAGTAGGACGCCGTGTCGAACTTGAGGGTCCAGCGGGAGGACGTCGCCGCGGAGGCGGAGGCGGCCTCGATCTCGCCGAGGACGTCGTCGAGGGTGTAGACGGGGACCTCGCCGGACGAGGTGGCGGAGGAGAAGGGCAGCCAGGATTTGACGCGGCCGTCTTCGTCTGTGGTAGATTCGAATTCTTTGAGGACGCCTCCGGGCGTGGTGGTGTTGGGGGAGGCGGAGCCGGAGGTGACGGTGGAGGAGTGAGGGGAGGGGATGGTGGTGGAGAGCTGGACGCGGACGTTGCGGGCTGGTTTTCCGGCCGATGTGTCTAGGACGTGGCAGGTTATGCGGTCTTTTGTTTGGGTGGCCATTTTGGCGGGTGGGATTGAGGTTGAGGTTGTGGTGTTTGCGGTTGTGGTTTGGGGGTCGAGGTTTAATTTGCTTCGGAGGGGCATGGGAGTTTGAGATGGTTGTGGTGGTGCTTGGGGGTTGGGCTGCGTTGGGTGAGTGAGTGTGAGTGAGTGTGAGGTGGTGGTGTTGTGTCGAGTGAGGTGGGATGAGGTGAGGTGAGGCTCACGCTGGACGGCGGGGTAAATTCGCCCTGCCTGCTTGCCTGCGTGTAAGGCGGAATTGCTTGGCTCCCTGCCTGGCTGAAGTGGGGCACTTTGTAGGACCTGAGTCCAAGGTGAAGAAGTACCGGGCTCACAGTCCTGCGATCAAATAGAGAGAAGATAGTAGAGGTAAAAATCAAAGAAGAGGTTCGAGCTACCTATATCCAGAGAGGTCAGGATGATCTTTTGTCTTGTCGCGTGGGAGAGAAAAGGCTCTAGAGCTCTTTTTTTTTCTTCTTTCGGGACCGAAGTCGGTGCCGGACGGCGCCGTGATGCGATGACGGGAGAATGGTGGGGCCCACAAATATAATTGTACGGAGACGGAGATGGCCCCGGAACTGAATGGCCTTTGAAAGGTGCGTTGATGTGCCTAGATCTCCATTCAACTGGACGGTGTTAGAATCGACTTTGGAGTCACGTTCCATCAATTCTTTTGCCACATTGCGCAGTATCAGAGATGGTGGATGTGGAACACAAGCTATATGGGCCTTTTCCTGATAAGAGATATTTGAAGGTCGGAACCCAAAGGAAGGCGCGCTTCGATTAAGCCTACCTTTAATTACCGGCCAAGGTGTGAATGAATTGATGGACTTCTAAGAAATGTACAACTAGAAGGATAAATCTAAGCATTGTTTGGCAAGCCTCTCTACGCTATCTTTATTTACCAACACTGCGAGCATTCTGGGGAATCTCACAGGCGAAACGAGGGGACTGATTCTGAGAAAGCCACCTCTAGTTCAGTGTTTGATAACCGCCTTCCTCAGTAGACGAGATCATTATGCGATAAAACCAACAACCAACCTAGATGTATCCTACATATCCCCTCTACCTGACCCAGTAGATTAAAGACTTCCGTACTATACGGCAACGCATCCGTGAGATGGTGGGAGGATGGGAGGGGCACAGACAAAAAGCTCCGGCACATGCCGGGGGAACAGAACGGGAGGCCCCGGCGGGTGGACCTGAATGTTGCTGGCGCCTCAGCACGCTTAGGTGGGAGTTTGAAGAGGTCTGGGCTTCTGTCACCGCACCACCACAGAAAGCCACGCCAGAAAGGCAGCATACGTCATTTGGCCTGTGCGCTTTCCACGACACACAGAGAGAGCCTATCGTGCTTATCGCAGTAACCTTGTTTGCCCCCCCAAACCAATCAGAGACTCTGCAATTGACGGCAGACCGTGATGACGAGCGGGATATCCTCTCTGATTTAGATACCAAGACGCCAACCGGGGGCCAAGAAGAGGCCAAGAAACCAAGAAGACTCAGCCAGTGAAAAAGAGCCAGTTCACCTGGTGTTATTGTAGTTTGCAAGTGCAAGACTAATTCGGTAATCAGTGAAGTCAATGGCTCGTCCAAATCGTACCATGGAATCTTTTCTGTGCTTTGAGTTTTGTACCAATGCGACGGTCCGGATACCAAGCCTCTAAGATGGCCTAGACCTTTTCATACTACGTATGTTGATGTACGATTTCGCCTTGAGGCTTCTAGTGTATTGAACCCCAGCAATGATGTATCCTTTCGCACAGCAGGGAGCCGTGATGTTCTTCAACTGATTCACGTTAGGTCTCAACTTGTGTGAGATGGACTGAGAGAGAAGCATTGTAGTTTCATTTCAATGAAGACATATGAGACTGCCGGTCTCTTTTGATACTCCCTTCTGCGCACCAGATCCAGGAATCTATACTACGTGTATCCGTGCCAAAAACACCAAGAAGCTTGGCTCGTCCCGGCTGACGTACGACAACGCGATCCACCACCACCACCGCACCAAGTAAGCGTGCAACACTCCCACATTGGCACATGAAAAAGGGGAAATCACCGCCAAGCAGAGCCAAGTGTAAAATGAGCGCAACACGCATCTTAGTCCCGTTTCCATAGTCCAAACCCCCAATAAAGCCCTGCTGTCATTGCATCCATTCAAAGATATAGACACCATGGACGCCCGTCGTTTACTTTCTGTCCCCCGACCGTGTCTTCTCTTCAGATATCCATTGGTGTCCATCGCTCTCTCGGTGACAGCGACTCGATAAAAGGAAGACAGACAGACAGACAGAAGAAACGACAGTCCGTGAGGGTACTCGATCAGCAAAACAACGAGGGCCTTCATGGCTACCCCCACAAACCACCCCGTCACGAACCCCAAAGAGGGCGTCACATACCTCACCGAAGACGAGATAACCTCCTTCCTCGACGACCTAGACCACAACGGCGACGGCTACATCGACTACGCCGAAGTCGAAGCCAAACTCGACGCCGCCCACGACGAGCTCGCGCCCGGCGGTCAGGTAAAGCCTCACCACGTCATCAGCCGTCACGCCTCTCCAGAGAAACCAAACCAGTCGTCTTCCTCGTCAGACGAGAACCGCCTCCGCCATGAATTCCTCCGCTCCGTAATGGGCCTCGCCGGCTCCGACGACGACGACGACACCTCCCGCACCCGCCGCATCCCCCGCGCCGCCTTCGCAGCCCGCGTCCGCGAATGGAAGATCCCCTCCCTGAAACAAGACGCCGACTCGGAAACCTCCCAACGGGACTTCATCCAGCACCTCCGCCTCTCCCGCCGCCTCCGAGCCTACTGGGCCGTCCACGGCCCCGAAATCGCCTTCCTAGGCCTCGTCGCATCCTCCCTCATCGCCTTCGGCGTCTGGCAATGCGTCAAATACGCCACCACCCCCCAGTACCGCGCCGCCTTCGGCTGGGGCGTCGTCCTCGCAAAGACCTGCGCCGGCATGCTCTACCCGACCTTCTTCTTCCTCATCCTCAGCATGTCGCGCTACTTCTCCACCTTGCTCCGCCGCTCCTACCGCGTTTCTCGTTTCATCAACTGGGACCTCAGCCAGAGCTTCCACATCAAGATCTCGTGCCTCGCGCTCGCGCTCGCGACGCTGCACGCCGTAGGCCACCTCACGGGCTCCTTCTACCACGGGAGCCGACCCGGAAACCAGGACGCCGTGGCAGCCGTCCTGGGCCCGGACGCGGTGCCGAGGCCGTACGTCGAGTACGTCCGCTCGCTGCCGGGATTCACGGGTATCACGGCGTTAGGCCTCTTCTACCTCCTCGCCCTGCTCAGCATGCCTGCCGTGCGGCGTTGGAACTACGAGGTTTTTCAGCTGGCGCACCTGCTCATGTACCCCATCATCGGCCTCATGATGGCCCACGGCACCGCGGCGCTGCTGCAGTGGCCCATGTTCGGCTACTTCCTCGCCGTGCCGACGCTGTTGATCCTCGTCGAGCGCGTCGTCCGCGTCGGTACCGGGTTCCACAGGATCAGGGCGACACTGACGGTGCTCGACGGCGAGACGGTCGAGGTCGCGGCCACGATCCCCAGCGAGCGCATGTGGAAGTACAGGGCCGGGCAGTACGTGTTTCTACAGGTGCCCGCCATCAGCGCTTTCCAGTGGCATCCGTTCACCGTCTCCATTTGTCAGGGGCGGGAGTTCCGGTTACATATCAAGACGGATGGGAACTGGACGAAGCGGCTCCGTGATCTGGGCGGAAAAGGAGAGGGAGAAGCCGATGCGGCAACGGAGATTGAGGTGGGTATCAACGGACCCTTTGGTGCGCCGGCTCAGCGGTTCTACGATTTCAACCATACCATCATCGTGGGTTCAGGCATCGGCGTCACGCCCTTCTCGGGCATCCTCGCGGACCTGCAGGCGCGCGATGACGAGGAGCACGGGGGCCCGACACACTCGCATCATCACCGCGCCCACCAACACCGCCACGACTCGGAGACGACCGTCGTGACAGAGAAGAAAGAGACCAACGAGCGAAAGGGTTCAGGATCGACAATGGCAGCAGCAACGACAACAGAGGCCCCGGATGGAAACGACCCCACGAAGCCCCCTAACCCGTCAGAAGCCTTCACCTTCGCCCCCGACTACCGCCGCGTAGACTTCCACTGGACGGTCCGCGACCGAAACTACCTCCTCTGGATCGCCGACCTCCTCAACTCGGTCTCGCGAAGCCAGGACTGGCACCGTCGCCACGAGGGCCCATCCCAGCACCTCGACATCCGCATCGCCACGCACGTCACCCAGAAACGCAGGGACATTGTCACGCACGTGTACCGCTGGCTTCTCGAGATGCACCGCACCGAGGAGCACCCAGAGAGCCCGCTGACGGGCTTGCTGAACCCGACGCACTTTGGGCGGCCCGACTTTGATGCCATATTAGATAGGCACTACGAGGACATGCGGAGGTTCCGTGCCAGCAAGAGGATGAAAGCGAACGCGGGCGGCGGGGCCGCAGCCGACAGCATGGCAAACGCAGGGGAGGTGGGAACAGACGGGAACCACCGCAGCGAAAATGGGGACGCTAGAGCCGACGACCGCGGTAGTACCCGAGGCGCTAGCGGCGAGCGGCGGGACGTGGAGGAGGAGGATGAGGAGCTAAAGGTCGGAGTCTTTTACTGCGGAGCGCCGGTGGTCGGGGAGATCCTGGCAGACAAGTGCCGGCAGCTCACGGTGCGGGGGCGGCACGACGGCAGCAAGATTGAGTATCACTTCATGATTGAAGTCTTTGGGTAATGGATTTTCTGCTCCGCGCTCCGTACATGTAGCTTTGGCCGATAGCTTTGGTCTTTGTCAATGGTTGGATTGAGCAGCAAATTGGAGATATAGTTCGGTCGGCCGCACTCGCGGGCGCTGGTGTTAGCTGTTGGTCTGAGTTGGTTCTGAGTAAGACCAAACGCAAAATAATGAGAAGAACCATAGAGGCACAGAACAGCAACCCGCTCGGGGAACCGCTCGTGAGTTCGGGATTCCCTAGAGATGATCACGTTCCTGTCTCCCCGACAGGCTGACGTGGATGGGCGACGAATCCTAATCAGGCATGCCACGAGTTAATTGTATGGGCCAAACTGCGTTTTCAGTCCCACTACAATGCCTTTCTGTCGTCGTCGTCTTGCTCTAATCCAGAACGTGCACGCGCGCGCGCGGCCGTCGGAACTCTCGCCCTGCGTGAACGAGGATATCGAGTCGGGTTCAGGCCCGTCTCAACAGACGGACGCGCGACATCGTCTAGGGATCTGTCGTAGGAGAAAAAACTCGCAGGAACCTGTGCACAGGGAAAAGGGAAAAAAAGTTGTCTCCCCGCGTCGGGCCCCCTTTCTCTCCCCTCTCTCTCTCTCCAGCCATCATCCCTCGTCATAAGTCCAGGTCGGCCTTTTTTGCCGATGGTTCCATGAACCTGGACTTTCTCTCTTTTTTCCCGCACCGCAAAGTGTTTCTGGTTGGCCATTTTTATTTCTCCGACGAAGAGTCCTTGGACAAGGGTCCCGGGGTCTTGATGCCCAGTCGTCTCTATGGTGAGGTGCATGTTGCGCGACTCGCTCGTCCTCCGGTTCCCACTTGACACACGTCTTGTCTTGGTCTCGCCTTTACGCGCCAGATCTTCCCTCCCCTCTTCTCCATCCTCGTCCTTCTACCCCACTCAACCATGATCTAAATTCGACCATTGTGTGTGAGTGTGTGCCTGGTTTTCGATGTAGTGTTGCATTGTCAAGGGTTGGGCCTTTTTTTTCTTCCCTAGGGCCTAGTGTGCCAAGGGATATGGGGGAGGGGGGGGCCCAACTCTGACAGGCAGAGGAGACAACGTGAAGGAGGCCAGGAGCCAAGAAGAAACGTTGCGGGGACGTCGATCACGGGCTTCAGTAACTGCAGCATGCAGCAGACGGAAGCACGCTCAAGCTTTTGACAAAGAAAAAGCCCTGCAGATTCCACAACGGAGAGGAAAATCTGGCCATTCTTGGCTTTTCCTCCGTATGCCAGACGCCATGTGCCAGAACGGGGACCTTGTCGCCGACACGGTCGCGAGCAACGGTAACAGATGCCGCTGCCACTCTGCATCCCTTCACCTCACCCCCCTCTTCCCGTCGCCACCACTGCAGGCGAACGGCATGAGAGACCTGTGAGAAGGGGCCAAGGACGACGAATGGATGACACACAGAGTTTTCCAGACGACAACAGACCCCGCCAGGACGCTCGAGATGAAATTTTGTGAACAAGCCAACCGTTGCTTGGTCCGGCCACGAGATGACGAAGCTCGTTAGAAGCTCACCATCTAGTCCATTCTCGCCCAAAGATTCATCTGCGGCCGCGAAAGACCCCTTTTCGACGCTCCGGCCAAGCCAGTGAGCACTAGAGTTGAGGAGAAAAGGAAAACACCGGACCAAAGGGTTCGTATATACGAGGCGCCCTCTTCGCACAGCATTCTATTCGAAAAACTGTAATTCGCAATTCGAACTATCAAAGATATCAACTCGAGACTCCAAGGCACGGTATTGCATTGAGCCGCAATCGCCAAGATGTCTTTGCTGATCTACACTGGGCTAGTCAGTTGATCTGGAATGGTGCGAGAATGACTTGGTAGCGTAGGCGGGATGTGCGTTTGGATCTGCTTGCTCTGTTACATCGCGCTCTCGTCCTCTTGGCACACTTGATTGACATTCTGCTGCCAGAGCTTGGTCTCTGCAAGGTTTTGAATGAGGAGATATGCTCGTAGGCTCGCAGGGCCCGTAGTCCAAAAATGGACTCTTTGGTTTCTGGGGCTGGTGTTGAGCAGTCGAGTGGCTGGCACCGTACGGCGGCGGATTCCCTACCTCTCGCCTCCATACCCATCCCTCGACCCCTACCCAACCGAACCGACCACTCACAGTACACGCGTAGACGCAAACTGGTCCTAATCTTGAGGCGACACCATGAGGCCGAGACGACTCTGGACAGGCTGACCTTGCTTTTCTCCATGGTTTGGTAGTGCTGTCGATCGATCAGCAGTGTTTCGTCGCGTCCGGGCTGGGGTGTCTGAAACGGACAATGCGTGGGCGCCGGGATGGACGTTGGAGTGAGAGGGGCCTGCCAAAACATGCCGTTTGAGCCGCATCTGAGGCACTAAAAATGCTGGCGGGGGAGGCTATCGTAGCAATGGCGGCATCTACATGCCGCATTCTCTATGTGCCGTGGGCAATTCTTCTGGTTTTCGAAAACGTCGTTCATGGGAAAAGAGTCCGTGATGTTTCTTCTTTCGCCCATTAGCGCCCTCCCACTTTCCGAGGAAGGGGGGGACACGTCAGGTTTATAGCGTGTAACAACTGTGAATGTCAATGATCACAGATTTTGTAACACATGATTGAGGCTCAAACCAGGGCAATCTGGCCTGTCGACGGCAGGTGTTGCCGTGAGGTCAAACAGAAGAATACGCCATAGAAACGGCGCTAGAGCCATGACCACTGGCTAGCAGTACCACGCCGAGGAATATCCAAGTTAGCAAGTAGGACATTTGACATTTGGGTTTTTTTTTGCTTGCTTTCGCCATCCCATTCGGGACTATGCGCTTACTGTAGACAGAGTAGAGAGCGAAAGAGAGCGAGACCGGGTGTGAGTGGGCACAACCGGCCAGGCACTGCGTAGCGGAAGAGGGGGTTGAGACATGCCATCTGAAGGACGATTCGTTGGATGGGCGAGCGACTACTATGGTGTCCAGAGTGCGTTTGGTATGTCGGTTTCGTGCGAGTGCCGTAAAAGAGAGGGGACGCTGGAGATGGGATGAGTATCCACGGACGGTTGCGAGCCGGCAGGGGTCGGTGGATGGAAATCCGCGAGGGGTGTAGGAGAGGGTTTGGTATAAGACTTGGCCACGTCTTCCCCCAAAATCTTCTCCCAACGGTCCTGTCACCTGCGGTCATCTCATCCTCCCGATCCCTTCACTTCTTTACACTCGCCTTTCTTTTATTGCGGCCGGACCGCCTTTTTTTAAACACCCCAAACGACGAAACGTTCCACTCCATCAGCCGTCAATATGCAGCTTTCATTCCTCCTCGTTCCCCTTCTGTCCATCACGGCCTTGGCCAAGGACCACAATGGCGGTGGCGGCAAGAACTCGACAGAGGCTCAGTGCAAGCGCTTCCTGAAGGGTGAGAAGTTGGTCAAGGTCGCCGGCAACGATACTCTCCTCGCCGAGATCACCAACAACAACGCAACAAAGATCGACTTCATCAAAAAGAAGGCCGCCGAGGTCCAGCCCAAGCTCGACGAGGCCAAGAAGAACTCGACCTTGATGACGACCTGCGACCAGGTTCGTGCTGTTCAGCAGGAGAACGGACAGTGCCGCTTCATGAAGCGCATGGACAAGTTGGAGAAGCTGGTTGCCAATGAGACTGCCCTCAACGCTGTCACCAAGAACAACGCCACCAAGGCCGACAAGCTCAAGGCTTTCGCCCAGAAGGGCCAGGCCAAGCTCACCGACCTGCAAAAGAACACCACTCTCCTCTCGTACTGCTCCGTTCAGACCACCAAGGGAGAGTGCAAGCAGATGAACAAGTTGAAGTGAGTGACTCCTCTCAGCGCTAATTCGACGAGCAATATGCTAACCACAACGCCACTATAGCAAGCTTGTTGCTCTTTCCAAGAATGACACTGCCCTGAACGACAAGTTCAAGGGCAACACCACCAAGATCGAGAAGTTCAAGGCCAAGGCTGCCAAGCAGGAGGCCAAGCTCAACGCCATGATGAACAACTCAACGCTCATGGGCGTCTGCCAGCAGCTCAAGGCCGGCAATGGTGGTGGCAGCAAGGGCGGATCCAACAACAGCCAGAACGGTATCGACAGCGGCGCAGCCGGTGTCAGAGCCGCTGGCGCCCTCAGCTTGGCTGCCGTTGTCAGCGTTGTCGTCGGCCTGATGATGTAAATCATCAGATCGGTGTGAGTTGGAACTTGTTTGCGGGGCATAAACGTGGTCGTCGGTCTCGAGTAACAACGCGGGGGGGGACCGGCGCCATCTGCCACGACCTTGACGCATGCATGCGTCTTGTACAAAACCGCTGTCGATTAGCTGGGGATACATCTTAGTGTTTCACTCATTCGGATGGCTCGACGTGGACCTGACTTGGTCAGTCTGACGTTAGATGGGCTCCAAGCTATGATTATATTCATATGTAATGAGTGGCTCAAGGGTAATGTGTTGGTAGAGCAAAGAGAAAATTGGAAAGTTACAGTCGTTACCAGGTTGTCGAGGTGTGATCAATGTGTGATTTGTCTAGTCCCGAGTTTCCGCAATCGAGTTCCAAGGGTCTATGTCTGCTGTACCAATTCGTTCGAGTTCTTTATTAGCTTGGCTTCTGGTACTGGATAAGATTTTGCCAAATGTTTCCCGTAGCATTACCAAGTCCGAGATTGGCATGCTCATGAGGATGGTGTGCCAGGTGGTGGGCAAGCTATGGGTTGATGGGATTTCAAAATGCGCTGGACAGACGTTAGCATGGTAACTGAGACATAAATGATTGATCTTCCTACCGACTTTGCAAGAAAGGAAAAATTGGAGAAAACTTGGAAAGCAATTTACTCAATGCTCAGATCGACGGCAAAAGATATGTCGAGTAGCGCCTGAGAAGCTCCTGTAGGCGTTTCAGGCTCGAGGGTCAGAACGCTTATCATAGTTCGTAAATGTCACAATGATACTGTTCGATTAACAACATACCTGTGTGATGTCATGGCTCCTTGAAAATTGCTGGAAAAGCCTTTGATCCATCCGAATCGGAAGAAAAGAATGTGAGAAGAAATGCTCTACATGTCGAAGTAGTCGCATGGCACATCCAGGAGACCACTGTCAATGCCTGTACCGGAAGTGATTGCCGCAATTCTCTGTTGTAACTCACCATGGAAGGCCGCTTTTTCAGCGGAAGTCCAAGGCAGTATGGGGGACCACCGAGCAGGAGGTTTAGCTCGGCGTCCCCGGCGACTGCCGGTCCGGCCGCCCCTGACCTCTGGTCTAGAGTCGGAACCCCGGGTCTTCCTAGCGTTCCGGGTTCGCCTTGGCAACGGAGTGCTTGTAGTATTGTCGTCTTGGTTATCCTTCTGGGGCTCCGCTCCGAAAGTCAACACTTTCTGGAAGTTGGGCGTTGCGGTGGAGTTTACGGGAGAAGACGGAACGGGATCACGGATAATGTCGTTGCCGTTGTCGTCGTTGACTTCGTCGACGGTAGGGAGGCGAGTGACGGGGGATGCGGTCAGCAGACTCCACGTGGGGCTTCGGACACCGGTCGGAAAACACTTGCTACTCTCCGCAGCTTTATGGTCGTCAGGAATCTGGTCGTCAATCTCATTCACGAGATCGGCCATACCTGCCGTCGTTCCGCGCGAGGACTCCTCGCTAGTGACGCCTTCGCCGTGATGGACTGAAGTCTGGACATCATGCGATTGAGCTCTCAGAGTCCCAGCATAGTCGCTCAGGCTTGGGGCAGCCGAGCGACGGAACTGAGGCTGTGGTGTGACGAGACGGTATTCCGAGTAGCTGCCTTGCAGATTCTCCGTTGCCGTCTTTGGTTTGGGTGTCGGGGCCAGTGATCGGCGGAACGGGGGAGGTTCGACAATACCGACCGACACTGAGCTCTGATATGAGCCTGGGGAGATTGTAGAGGAGAAGACGGAAGATCTCCGAGACTGCGGCGTGCTTGTCTGAGCTGGTTGAGGGTCATCGTCTCGAAAACTCTCTGTGGTTGCTTGAGGGGAGCAGAACGCAGGGGACATGTTGAATATGCTGATAGCTTTGATGATGATGTCGTGGGTGTCTGCAAAGGTCCTGGAGTGTGTATCTTCTGCCTGCGCAAGAAAGTTTCTAAGAGACTGTTAGTTTCTCTGTCTTTGCTTGAAGTGCTGAATGTCTCAGAAAGAATAAGAGTTACTTGTAGGAAGCCGGGTGTTTGCAAGAAAAGAAAACAGAGAACGTGGTAATATTTGGTTAGTTTGCTCCGGACGCCAGAGTGGAGGAGATGGCCGATGTGAGGAGGGAGCGGACGGGCGGAAGGAAAAGAAGATGAGTTAAACAACATGGAAGGAATCAGATTTCGAGACTGACCTGACCGCCAGCTCAGTCGATTTTCGAGTGGGTACCAAGCAGTGATATGGCTTAGGAAGGAGCGGCTGCGAGAAAGTCTGGGGCGCCTTCCTCAATCCAGAATCGCTCGACCTCCCTACTTAGCCTCGAAAGAAACGGCCTGAAAGGTAAGGTAAGATCTAGCGAAGGGAATGAACAGGTTGTGCCAGCAAAATGGAGATTCGATAATAGAAGGTCTGTATTGATAATCACTTATACGAGAGTAGCCTTGAGAGTCTTTCTTCGCAAGTCTACGGGTCGCAACTGACACTTGAGAAGATTCCATGAAGCACCCTGTATGGTTTTTCTCATCGACCCAATTCCAAATTCGACATACTCCAGGCAATAGAGATATATACCAGACCTGGAGTTTACTACGTAGCAAGGCGCCAGGAACCATAATAATATGTTATCGCGATTCCCTGTTCACTAGCCTAGTCAGGAATCTCGCCTAACATACGGAAAGATGATCAGTTTGTAATAGTTCCAAAGGAACAGTGATCAACCTCATCACTGCATTTTCCTATCGTACACCTACAACACTGATATCTAAAAGGGGACAAGGGTGAATTCCGAACGCCTTCCAGTGAAGCCGTTATTGTAGTCATCTCCGACTACGGCGAAGCTCTTAATGGCGCTCACAGCAGTACGTTCCGCCGAGCCCTCGACAATCATGGTCGACACCTTGAGGACCTTGTCGCCCTCAACAAGGGGAATCAAAATGCTCCTCCCGTCCTCGTGCTCAAAAAAGGCACGCTGAAGCACTTTCCAACACCCGTCTTGCGTCCCCTGAATCCAATTGACAGACTTCACCTTCTTATCATCCTCCGGTGAGGCATCGTCTGCAATTGTTCGGTCTTTCCTATACTCCCTCAATCGTCTGTTAAACTGCTTAATATGCTCAGGCATATCCTCGAGGGGTACGGAGTCCACCCGTCCCAACTTAACCCTCTTCTCTGTGCCCGTGGTCTGGCTGATTGCAGAGGACCACACGCCGCCCAGCACGCGCTGCCGCGTCGCAATTTCGTCGGCGGTCCACTTCGACCAAGCAATCCAACGGTCGTGGTTTGTGATCTTCGGCGCGTGCGGAGGTGCTCCGAATGAGTCCTCCATGAACCCCCCGGTGGATTGTTTCCAGCCGACGTTCACGTGCGGAGGGACGTGGAGACCTCGATGTAGACCGTCGACGAGCATCTCGGCGGCCGGCGGTGTGACAATGTCGAGCAGCTGCTGCGTGCTGCAGTTTTCCGGGATCGGGATGCCTGGAAGCGGCGTCTGAGCCAGAATGTCACCGTGATCAAAGTCTTTGTGATCTAGGGTCTGAAGCGTGATGCCTGTGTGCGTGCGCCCTTGTAGAAGCGTATGTTGGAGGGGCGCGGGACCGCGGAAGCTGGAGAATTTGGTGGTTGAGAGGGCTGTGTGACGATGGGGAGGCAAACGTGGATGAGAACTCACTCTGGGAGCAGTGATGGGTGAACGTTTAACCCTCCGTACTTTGCCATCTTGAGTAATCTCGGCGGCACGAAAAGACCAAAAGAGACGGCAATGATGAGATTGAAGTCGCTAGGTGGCTGCGTGCGTCAGTTTGATGGCACTTGATTGATGGGAAAGAGGAGCCGCAATACCTGCCACTTGGTAAACGTGTCTCTCACGTGAATCGGCAAACTGAGTTGCTGAGCGAGGGTCTTCAACGGAACTATTACCAGTTGTCAGCTCGCATTAATCATCCACAGTCATCAACCTCATGAGAGTCTAGACGGCGCCCACATACCCTCACGAACATTTTTCATCCCTCTCCCCGACGGCTTGCTCGGCCGAACAACGACTTCCAGCGACTCAATCAGTTCCGGGTTTCGCTTCCCTTCCGCGGTCAGCGCGGTCAGCGCCGCGCAGCTGAAGTTGTCCGAGCCGCAGAAGAGGATCCGGAGCGGGTCCGAGACGCGGCCGGCGCCGGTCGTTGCGCCGGAGTAGAATCGGGCGCCCGACCGGCACGTCGTTGCAGCTGGCACCCGCGCAAAGGCGGCTGATCGGAGGGCCAGCCACGTCATGATGTCGAATGATGCTCTGATTATTTGCGAGACATTTTACCTCGTAAAGATTTCTTATTCACGGGTGCGGTATTCTCGCTTCAATCGACGTATCTTTTTTTGATGGCCTTCAAGGTCTAATGAGATGCCGAGTAAAAGTGGATCTTGGACGGTATGCCACCTGAGGTTTGAGGTGATACGGGTACAGGCATTTGAACGTTTTATGCATCCAGCGGGGCGAGCTCCTTATGATCGTCCTGGGATACCGGAAGGAGTCAATATCCGGCTGATGATTGGAAATGGACCTTGGTAAACACACAGATAAATAGAAAGAAAGCAAAGAAGCAGAAAATTTTCGAGCGAGAAGTAAAGATTCGGCTTGACTGAAGTTGTAGGCCATAGCTTTTTGTAATATACTTTCGAGGCTGTACTGCAAAGAAATGTCTTCACAAAGTCAGTCCATTTGCAAAGTGCAGCGATCAACGTTGCTGGTGTGTATTCAGTTGTATGCCAATTCTTCTACGAGACCGCCCAGTCGCAGGCGACGATCCATCTACCATCTTGTAGCTCAATCTCCCACGCAGGCTGGGAAATCGCAACGACACTACCCACGACGACAGGAGCCTTGTGTCCCAGGCCCGTCAACTGTCCCTCCCCAGCCAGCATAAGCCGCGCCGCAATCTCTTCTCTTACATCCCCGTCGCCCATGATCCTTCGTCCCCGAACAAGGTACATTCTGTTTCCATGACGAACTTCGTCAACAACAATGCTCATGACTAGGTCAGCCGGACGGTCACCGCCCGTCCAGCCCTTGACCTCTGCCAGCCAAGTCTGCAGCTCTGCCGCGAGGCCCCCAGCGACGTACTTTGCGCCTCGCCGCTGTGGAGAGAACGCCTCCGGTAGGCCTTCCTGTCGAATGACTTCGGATTCAGACGGCTTGAAACGAGGGGCGCGATGAAAGGTCGGCTGCGTCTTGACTGGGTCTCCTGCAGCGCGCTTAGGAACAACCAAGTCGTCCTCAGTCTTGGGCACACCCTCGCGGAAGGGAAGCTCATCATTCGCATCTGGCAGCTGCTCGTCACCGTATCCGCTTTCTTCAGGGAGAAGCTCTTCCTCTTCATATCCCATGGCAACGTCTTCCTTGGGCTCCTCCTGCCAGCTCAATGTTGGCGAGACCGAAATCCTTCTCCTCTTTGGTGTCCTCTCCTCCGTCTCGCTGTATAAAACACTAGGCGGCTCCGAATCAATCTCGATCGAATCGCTCACCGCGACGACCATTGGCGGCAGCTCATCCTGGTCCTCTGTCGGCGAATCGCTACCGACGTCAGAGTCGATGTCAATCCTAAAATTCTGCCTCTGCGTCCCAGCTCCCAGCGTCGGTCGCGTCGCCGAGACGGCCGCATCTGTCGGGGAACTATCCAGAAGATCGTGGATCGGGTCTCGGTGTCTCGACGGTCGAAGTGAACCAGGGAACACGGGCGTCGCGGGAGGTCGCTGAGTCGATGACGGAGGGGCGAAGCGGGGCGTGGGCTGGAAGCGCTGGCTGCCGGCGAAGACGGACGGGCCGCTGCCTGGTGTCTGTTGTTGCGATCCTGGAGGTTTCTTGGAAAGCAGAAATCGACGAGGTGTAGGTGTCTGCAAAGAAAATGGTTAATGAGCGACGGTTCTTGGTGTAGTGACCGCAAGACTCACTGATGGCGGTGGTTGCGTCATTGGGGTCAGCCAAATGGACCGCGTCTTCGTCTTGGGAATTGAGAGGCGAGAAGAGGCGTGGTCATCGCGTAGGCCTTCTCTCTAGAGATGTGTGTTTTCAAGCAGGTTGGGCGGAAAATTCGACGCCGAGTTAATGTGAAGGCACAAGCCGGCGGCGGAAGCTTCGTGAGCGATCGCATGGAGCGCATGGAGTCGCGGAGCACTGCAGGCGTCATCGCCGAAGGTGGTAGGTGGGGGAGTGCCTAATATCTGCTACATACATAACCCCTTTATGCAATCATTTCCATCGCTTCAACCCTGGAATGGTTTTGGAGAATTCAAGTTCACTGGTAAATAGTGTAGAATTACTACCAAAAATGTGTACCAGTGTTTGAAAAACTAATGTTCAAGAATAGTGTTCAAGAACAGGCTGTCCTCTTCAATTTGGCGCATGGCCTCCTGCAAGTCGAGCAATTGGTCATGTGGCTCCGGAACACAGGGAATCAGCTTTCCCACGGCCATAGGCAGAAATGAGATAGAGCGCGCGAAATCTCACGAGATCTGCATTTGATTGTGTAAACCTACGGTCATTCCAAGTTATTCTCCGAGCGACTTGGCGTGACAAGACCCGAAGTCAAGGTTCCACAGACTTCAGCCATAGGGGAATCGGCTTTAGGATTTATGAAGTTCGCAGTGATCTCTCTTGGGAATGATCAACTCTACCGCGAATTTTTGATTTCACTATTCCAAGAATCAGAAGGATTTCAAGTTCGGAATAGACTTATTTCAAGGTGCAACTCTTTCTCAGTTCGCTTCATACTGTTTGTGCTTTTGTGAGGATGAAAAGAGGAGGACTTGAGACCAACGTGTTCATGTGCAGGACGTTCATCCAAACAAATCAATTTTACACGGGAACTATCATGACTGGTGGTGGCAAGCTATCGTATTGGCTAGCTGAAGTTCCACAAAACACCTTTCTTGGCGATCGAATTCACTGCAATTTTAACCACCCCTGAGGCCATACAGTTACTGCTGAGACCACCGCCATCAACGCCTTGAGAAATCTGGAGACGAGAGCTTCCAAGATCAATCTGAGAATCAATCGAAATACCTTGCGGAGGGAATAATATTGGATGAATAACACATCGCCGGGAAGTACCACCCTGGACTGGATCCAACTACAGATTCAAACATGATAAATGCCCGGCGGGAAGAACGGCTGACCGACAGATACGATCAAACGCTCCCCAAATCAAATCCGATATACACATCGATCACGTCTCACAACCGCACGCAGCAAGCCGCCTGCACGGCCAGGATGCCGAAAGAAAGAAGGAAAAAACATCCCGAAATCGTACACGTCACGCACGCAGCTATCCTACCAGCCTACCAAAACTTACCTCGCCTTACCCCATGGCTGGCAACACAAGAAGTTGACGTGGCCCGGGGCCCAGCTGTCCGCAATACGGTAGATGCAAGTCCCGTGACACGACGTGGCATGTATCGGAGAATATTCGTATCCTTTAGAAGGTATCCTCTGCTTCCACGCCCCCTTTTTAGAGGATCAGATGAACTTTTGTGTGACGGAACAGGCTAGATGTATCCGCCACAGGCTTGCCATCAACCCGAAGTTTCTTTCTATTAACAAATATCTTAACAGTGTAACTCGACTCTAGCCACCGAAAGAGGCCCTGATACCCATCCTACCAGCCCAAAGAACTATCCGCTCACTCTGAATCTCGATTGCAAAGTGACCACATTATTGTACAGTATCAACAGCAGCTACTCAAGCCTTCTTCCGCTCATCCCACCTCCTCATAATATCCCCAATCAAATCCCTCCCACTCTCAACTCCCTCAACCTTCAACTGCTCCGCCTCAACCCTCCCCTGCCGAATCCTCGCCTCGGCAACAACATCCCCCACAGGTCTCTCCCCCATAGCCCTCGCACAAAGAAGCTCCAGCTGCCGAAGTGTGATACCCAACCCGCCAACAAGAACATTGACCAGCGCCAAAAGCATCCTCAGAAGCGCGAGCGGCACCTCGAGGATCACTCTTGGTAAGCTTCTTCTTCTGCCCCCCTCTCCTTCTCCCCCTCTTCTACCCGCCAGGAAACGCGCAGGCTGCGTCACGACGGAAGCTAGCTCGACAAAGGGCGCGAATAGGAGGAAGGAGAGCATGCGCGGGTAGGAGTACAGCCGCGGGTTACTCGCGTAGAGCTTCGGCTCGAAAGGCGAGGCGAGTTTGTAGAGGATGAAGTCGAGTAGGTTGAAGAGGCCAAACGCCACGGCGGCCAGGATCGTGAGGGGAGCTTTGAATACCAATAGTCAGCCATAGTCTCGACCATATAAGTGATACACAACAGCATCATGGAAGCCACGAGAAAGCAGCCAAACTCACCTCTCAAAACATGAAGACCTAATCTTCCCCATCTCCCCGTCCTCCCATCCGTAGCAACACTCTCAAAAGCCTTTTGCATCCCGAGAACCAACCCCGTTACCGGATCCCCAGGCCCCGTCAAATCAGGCCACTTGACCACCTCCAACACCTTCAAATCCTCCCTCCTAACCCTCCCACTCTCAACAAGAACATGCGCCGCAACAGCAGACAACTTCCTCTCCCCTCCCTCTTCCTTCCCCGTCGAAGCTACCCTCCAAACAGCAGGCCGTCCACCATAAACAACACACCTCCCCTCCCTCTCATAAACCCCAACCGTCTCAAGCACCTTCTCAACACAAACCTCCTCCCCAGGTCTCTCCCTCTTCACAGTATCCGCAAACCTCTCCGCGGCAGCCGCATACCCCGGCTTCAGAAGCTCCCTCAGCCCTTCCTCGAACCTCTGGCTGTTCATCTCCGCCAACCCGTACTTTGCCTCCGGCCCGCACCCGACAGCGTGGATCCTCGTGCCCCAAAACGGCTGGTCCCCGGCAACGGGCACCACGAGCGTAGGCCGCCCGCTCCGGAGCGCCATGGCCGTCGTCCCGCTTCCCCCGTGACACACCACGGCCCTGACCCGAGGGAACAGCCACGCGTGCGGCGCCTCGTCGAGGATGAAGATGTGTGTCATGTCTCTATTCCCGCCGATGCTGCCCCCTTGACTCTCATCGTCTCCCTTCCCCACCTGTCCAACATCCTCCTTAACAAGATTAGACCACCCCTTCCCAACAACAGCCCTGACACCAACCCTCCTCACCGCCTCAAAGATCCCCTCAAACACTTCCTGCGCATTCGCAAACGACATGCTCCCGAACCCGATATACACCGGCGGCGTCTCCGGGTCCGCCTCCAGGAACGCAACCAGCTCCGGAGACGGCGTATACTCTGACGGCACGTCCTCGAATACGAAACCCGCAACGTCGATGTTGTCCGCCCAATCACTTGGCTTCGGGAGCAGCCTCGGCGACCAGAGATACGTGCAGGGGACGTTCATCCTGTTGTACTGGCTCAGCCACCAGGCGGGGGACATGTTCTCCAGGCCCATCACGTTGACGCGGACGTCGTTGATGACGGATTTCATCGCTTCAAGGAACCTTGTCGTGTGTTAGTTTAAGAACATAGAAAGAGCCCTCTCCCTCCTGAGGTATCACTTCGCCCTGGCATAGCTCCTCTGATACTGTGTTGCTATGCCCAAACCAAAAGGGGGAATGATCAAGAGCAAGTCGTCGAAAACGATACATCAGGAAGAAAAGAACTAGTAAGGGGCAGGAGAATAGAAACAACTCACATAAAATCCTGAACCCACCAGGACAAAACATTCTTCCACCGACTAGGCCCCTTCAAAGCCCACCCAGCCTGCGAATGCGGTACCTCCCTCGAGAAAATCCTCGGGTTCATCCCAAACAGGTGCAACGGCACACCCAGCCTCGCCGCCGCAGACGTCTGGTTATACACATGCATCGTAGACATGACCAAATCCGCCACAAACGCTCCCCTCTCCTCTCCTCCTCCATCTCCTCCTCTTCCTCCATCAACCCCATCCTCACCATCGTGATCAAACCCAAACCCATCAACGCAAGCCCCCCACCACCTCTCCCCCATCTCCCGAAACTCCTCCCGGATCACAGGCACCAGCGCATTCAGCTCCTCCCGCGGAAGCAACCGCCTCTCCATCATGGTCTTGATGTCCGTTCTGCCGATCCCGTAGAACCCGACCCCCGCGGCCTCGACGGCGGCGCGGTACGGCGGGTGGCTCGCGATGCGGACGCGGTGGCCATGACGGCGCTGCAGGAGCTTGGCGACGGCTAGGGAGGGCTGGAGGTCGCCGCGCGAGCCCATGAAGAGGATGACGATGTTGAGGCGCATCGTTGTGCCCGGCGGAAGATCCGGAACCGGATACGGATCACCCTTTGGTGATGAATTGGAGCTTGACGTCGTCATTTCGTTGGGTGTTGATGCTGTGGTGCTAGGGTGCGTATCTCTGTTTTGGCTGTGCTCTCCAAGGGACATGATGGACTGCAACAACCCACGAATGACACTGATCGCGTCGCAGTTAAGGTAGATTCACCTACATCTACCCATCAATTGTAATGTTGCAAGAAACATGGGAAAAACATATTGATCTTAAGTCACGTTGTACGGATTGTTCGGTGCTTGCTTCTTCTCCTATTCCTCCAAAATCTTACGTGAGGCGCTAATCAAACCTAGGTAGGTCTTTTTCTATTACAACTGGGCGCAGGCCAATGAAAAGCCTCGATACACGATTGCCCTGGCTTGGAAATATCTAAGCAACAGGCCGAACAAATTAATACTCCAAAGTTGTAGTCAACCAACACCGCCCGGGACTACACAATATCGCGATTCCGTGTTCATGGCCAGCCCGTGACCCGCAAATTTCACGGGTGGCCGGACCCGTGAGGGTAGTGTAGTCAACCCGGGCCTTTGCGTCCGGAAGTTTGGGGGGCCCACCACTGCGAGTGTGTTCGGGGAGCTCTCGGCGTCCCATGGACCAGGGAAGAGGAGACAAGGACAGTTGCACATGTCGTCTCTTATTCGGATTCGCCACCTTCATCTTCACTCACGGACCAACCCACCATCGTCATCTCTTCAAGAAGGATGTGTGTGGTTGTCACAGATCAATCAAGGCATATTTCTGTGGTCCGTTTTATTTTTTCGCCATACTGGACAGATTCAAAGTTCAGACTGCACGCCGAAAGGTGCCCTGATCCCTGGCCTCTTCAGGCCGCCGATGCGAAGGTAAAGAGAAGAAGAAGAAGAAGTTTAGGAGCACAGGTAGGTGTGCAATCGGACGTGCCCTCCATCCCCTTTCCTCTCTCGAGTCTTGTCTCTTGTGGCCCGCCTCCCAACTTTTCGGTTTCGCCATCAGACGATGACACATGTGAGACTATAACGCCGGATGGGAAAGTCGAGAAAGACCGACGGGGAACAGATGGAGTTACATCTGTCCACCACGTCTGAAATTGCCTCGGGCGGTTGACGCAAGGGGCAAATGACAATGGAGAGAAAGAGAAGAAAAGTCTGATGGTCGAATGAACAGGCTCTCTCTCTCAAACCGTTGCTGTGAGACGCACAGCAACGCTACGACGTTACGACCGACTGACTCGAAAGGGAAACCCGATGTTGTTTTTGTCTCAAGCAGTCACAATTTTGGTCAAAGGGCTTAGCGAAGAGCACTCTCAGCTTCCAGAATACGAAAAGAATGAAACAAACAATGTTGCCCCAGAGGCCCCAGACAGGTGACTTGCTGCTTGTTGTGCCCACGGGCCCTTCGATGGAAGCTCTCAGTCTTCTATATTCGGCAGCGGCGTTTGTCTCAAGGCGCGGACGGAAATTGGAGGATCTTGTGGGGGATGAGATAGCGGCTGAACCGACCGAGGGCGGTCCGGTAGATCGAGTTCGCTTGCTCAAGCATTCGGCTCATTACCACGGATGACTGTCTGCCTGCCTGACTCGCTAATCTGCAACCATGCTGGTGACGGATGGTCAATGTCGACGAGCCGACCGCAAAGGACGGGGCAAAACATGAGTTGACTTGTCGTGTCGTGCATGCCGCCATAGCCATAGCCATAAGCCTTATTTGGCATCTGAGGCCTTCAAACACCTTTTTGGTATGCTCAATGGCTTTGAGACACGCCTCAAAGCCTTCGAGGAACACCGCATGCCTCGCTATCATTGACCAAGGCATTTGCATTGTGTCGAGCCAAGTACGTAAAGAGCACGCAGTAGACCAGGCGTAACCAGACCAAGGTTGGTTAACCTTAACGTTAGCGGCCTTCCACTGCAGGCACCTGACACGCCTCTGCCGACCGCTCGCACGTACTGGTGCATACGGGCCATGTTGGTCTCGCGGAATATTTTGTGATTCGGGCACCGACGGGGGTTAGCAAGGCGCCGCCTCTGCAACGTGTGTGCAATGGCGCATGGCCGTAAGCAGAAATTGGGACGGCGTCGGTCCACAACACTTCCAGCGTCGTAGTCGCAAGGAACAGGCCGCTGAAGAATACTCCTCGTCCCCTCGTCGTTCGAACTCTTGGGGCCACCAGAAAGATCCGCGAAGAAGGGAGATAGACGGAAAACTGGAGATGGTGTGAAGCTCGTGCTGGCAAATGACAGCGACAAGTGGCAGTGGCTTGGTTGAGTGGCACTGGAGTAGGTCCCGAGTCTTTTTTCGTATCATGATGGCGTTAGTGCAGAGGATAAAAGTTGAGATGAAACCATTGTAAATCACTCGAGACCGGGGTCTGAGGGTGCAAGCTCGAGAGGTTGTCGCTTCGAGATGATCGGCGCAGGGATATCGCCCTGCAGCAGTCCTTGTCAGAGGTTGTTGACCTGGGCTGGCTTTGGAGTTTGGCGGGCTGGTCTGTCGGCGGCCACAGAGGGCCTGGAGACAGCTGAGTCCTGTCTCGTCCGTCTCCGGGTATCTTTGCGTAGAGGCCTCGGGCCCGAGGCCGAAGGGTAAGGTGTCGAAGGCGAAGAGCTAGGAACAGCATCCACTAATCAAGCCTCTCAGACGAAGACGTGTCGTCCGTAGCTTGATAGCGTCGTAGGGCGGGCAGGCGCTTAGTTTTTCCTTACTGTGTCGTAGAAATGAGGGTAAAAAACTAGATGAAGCTGGTGTCGGTACCGGTGCCCATGGTTTCCGGGTGCGCCCTGAAGCTAGACCTTGTCGACCCAAGCTTCCGTGGGCCGAGTTTGCGTCGCATCCCTCTCCGTCAACTCATCTTCTTCGCGGAAGCCAAGCTTGAGGGACCTGAGCTGCTACCAAGACAACTTAATACTTGAGGCCATGGAAAAGGCGCTAGGTGGCGCCCATCGTCTTTAGTGGGTGGACTGGCCACGATCCGGCGCATCTCGCAACGTGTGCGATGGGTGCCTGTGCTCACCGACTTTCGTCAGCGAAGCGTGCAGCAAACTTGGGAAGAGGGCGGAAGAAGAACGCGGAACAGAGAGGGCGACAGAGCAGGAGAGCTAGTCATTGCTTGATCGGAGCCGGTCCAGACCTTGGTCGGTCAGCAAACAGCTGGCTAGTGTGGGCTATTGGTCGCTCGAGATGATGATCGGTGATGATGGACGATGCGATGACACTTGTCAGCTGCTGTTGCTGATTCTGATGCTTCCGCCAGCAACGGGCAGGATCAGAGACGGTAGCGGAACGAGTAGAAACGCTGCTGGAGCATGCCGTATTCCGTCAAGCTAGCACTGAGCCCTCTGAAGGGGGATCTGAAGGGGGAAAGGAGCTCGAGACTCTGCATCTGCGGGTGCTTCGGCGTGTCAAGCCAGCGTCTGGTCTTCTGACAATCTCGCATCGCACGCCGATATTGTTCTGGCGTCTTATGGCCCCGACGCAAGCTTGTTTCCCTTTGGACGTTTTGCGATGGCCGTTTTATCCTAAAGTAAAAGTGCCATAGGTACATAGTCACATAGTGCAGCTGGTGGCGTGTGGAATCTTGGTTTCCGTCTCGCGGACCTCACAGATTTTGGATCTTTCGTCCCGTGTGCGGCGGCCGGAAGCTGAGGTTATCCGCTGCAATCTGGACAAGATTGGGCAAAGCGAGACAAGCCTTCCATCACAGAGAAGTGTAAAAGACGATGATGACTGGGGGATGGTAGAGAAGCGTGAGGAGGTCGGAGGGAGCTGGGGTGACCGTTGAAGGTGTTCCTGAGTCTTTCGCCCAACGTTCCATTGCTGTCTCCAACGACAAGAGGAGTGGACATCAGCTGAAACATCTGCAGCTTCTTGGGTGGAGACTTTAGACCCACCTTCAAGCCCAGAGAGTCCACACCGTCCTCCTTCCTCCTTCCATCACACCCAGGGGAGCAGGTACGTATCTTTTCTCTGTCATCGTGAACAGAAGGGAAGGGAAAGAGCCACCTCGCGGAGCACAGGAGGAGAATGGAAGGGGCGGGGGACGTACCCAGGTCGAGGTCTCCATCCTCAGGCTTCCTTCCATCTTGCACCTGCCTCGGACGGATACTTTGTCATGTTCTTCGTCTCGTCAACGTCCTTCACTTTTTGTCCAGGTTGCTTCCCCTTCACGGTGGCACTAGCTCCGTAGGCTGACTGACTGGGCTCGACTAACGGCAAGGCATGTGTGTCATGTCTATTGTGGTCAAAGTAAATTGTAGAGAGTGCGTATGTGTGTGCCCTGTGTCCTGTGCACACTTGCGTAGCCTCTACAGATACGTGGTTGAAATGAAGGATTCAATCGACCGATGTGCTGATGGGATGGCCAAAGATGGGACAGATGACATACTGGTTGGTTCTATAGAGAGGGAAATGCCCTGTATCAAGACATCTTGTTTGAAGGAAGATGCTAGCTATCGCCACTGTGGTTTATTGCAAGTCGTCATGGTTATGTTTTTTTTTTTTTTTTTTTTTTTTTTTTTTTTTTTTTTTTTTGTATCTTGCGTCTATTGCCGCTATTCTCGTTTTATTCTCTCTGTAGGCTGCTTTCTTTCATGGTCTAGGCCCTCAGTTTTTCTTGTAGTATTTTTTGTTTTTTTTTTTTTTTTTTTTTTTTTTTTTTTTTTTTTTTGTTTTTTTGCAATATGGCCTTTCATGCCGCGAGACTGCGATTATTCACCATGGGCTTTTCTTGGAACAAAATAAGAACGTAAATTAGTTAGACTCTAGCCATAGAGTCCGTGGCAATTGCCGTGTGATTAGGCGAGTTATTCTGAGCTTCTTACCCCATCCCACCATGTTCAGGACTCAGGAGACACGTCCAAGTATAGTCACGACCCCTGCACCACTTTGCCCCTCACCTTGCTCTACCGTGGCCCGTAACAGACTTGTCCGTATTATTGTCCATGTATACTCCGTACTGATAGTGGAGGCTAAGAATGTTCCAGGAGCAAGACAGAAAGGGGAACCTCGCCCGGCCCAACTCCGTTTCGTGATCCTCGTGAGGGTTTGTGTTGATTTCAGCCATGGGAACTTGGGAGGGAAGGCAGGTCCAGCGAGAAGAGACGTTCCTCTCTCAGGCACCAAACTCCAAGGCCCATGGGTACGGCGTGCCTCCATGAGGTGGATGCGACGTATCGGTACCTTGGGCATGGAGACGACGGATGACGGACGGCGGGCGCCGGCCCACGGAAGGAGACGTCCCACCTCTTGTCGTCCCACCACTGCCCGGCCCCCCAAAGGAAGGAAAGGACTTCCTGTAGGTAGGTATGGACGGAGAGAACGGTTGGACTTGGCAGGCAGCGGGAGAAGTAGCCCCTTCCACCCGGTTCGACCCTCAAAGCCCGATCTTTGAGTTGACCTCATCTTCGTCTTAGTGTAGTAGGCACATAGGCGTGTTATGTGTTAATTATGTATCCGAACAAACAGCCGTATGCCGAGTCTCCGTACTCTCCATTTTTGCCCACTCACCTTTGTCACTTGTAAAGTTGTGAACCCCCCAACTCAATCTTCGACCCATCAGCCAAGCCACGGCGCCACTTGGACATGGACCAGCGCGCCAAACCCCCTTCGAAGCTTCGATAAGTTGGAACCGGCATCTGAGCTGGGGCCTTGAACATGGACATGCCATGCCCATGGACCTCATTCTCGACTTCGACCTGGACTCCTTGGCCTAGATTCCGCCACACACAGCATCGACTTGGTACACTACGGATACAGGACCTGGATCGAAGTCTGAACCTCACCTCATGCAGCACGACGGATCCCATCTGATTCTATGGTGGCCCCATCTCCCATCCCCCCCGCCGTCCGTAAACTCATCTACTTACAACATTTGTACCTTACAGAGAGTACTTTTGTGCGGACACGCAGCAAAACCATCTACTTACGACACGTACCCTTCCCATCAATCTATGAAGCAACAGGCACCTTTCAAGTCTGAACTTACTAGCGTCTTTGCGTCCCCTTGACCGTCGACATATCCCGGATCGATCAAAGCCATCTCTGCTCTTCGCTAGGCTCTAGACTCTGGCAGTGCATCAGAGCCTCTTCCTTCGCCCGCCCGCCCTCCGTCCCTCCCCCCTTTCGTCCCGTCATCCCCTCCTCCACGGCAAGCTGACTACATGCCACCGCAACCATGATCCATCACTGCCGCTGCGATACGACGCCATCCAGCATCCGGGCTACTCTATCCCATCCCATGCTGCCAGTTACTACTCCTTCGACGCATCTCGATATCCCGGCTTGCAGCAGCCCCGTCTTGAAACGTGGAGGCAGATTCCCATGGGCCAATCGCAAATCGCACATTCGCAGCCCCGGTATGCCCACCACGGATCGTCCGCCGGCTACGTATCGAGACGGCCGAACTTGTCCCATGTCGCCGCCGTCCTACTATACATCTCTATGCGGCACCTGGCCTCGCGACTGCCACACTATGCGATACCCTGCAGCACATCAGCCCGCATCGCGCTGACGACGGCTCTCACAACCTGCTCCTCTTCATGTCGCCCTATCTTTCATATACTGCCACGTACCGGTACGGGTACCGTTAGTCCTTAATATCTGACGCGCCTGGCTCTGCCCAGTAGACTACTGTACTTGACGGAATAGCCTGCAGAGATAGCACGCCATCCTTACTGCACTGATCGGTCGTCGTCAGAGTCTCGTCGCTACGGGCGAGCTGACGCTTCCCACAAGCTCTCACGCCATACGCTGCTAGGTGGTGGGTGGGCGACCCAACGCTTCGTCTCGTCTTGCGTACTACGTAGTGTCTACGGAGTAGTTGGCTGCACTACATTGGCGCAGGGGCCATGATCCCTGCTGTCCGTAGGCCAATGGCAGTTTGGCAGCACGCGACTGAGAGATGCCGTCCCATGGATGATGGAGCTCTTTTGAGCTGCCAAAACTACGACGACATCACAGCCGTTCAGGGCTATGCTCACAATTAAGAATCCCATGCGATGCGGAAGAGGGCCTCTGAACAGCCGCGTTATCTTAGATACGGATCCTGGACGTTAGCAAAACGAGGCATATGCACATGCGTTCCGGTGTGCAGCTGTGACGAGAACCAGACATCCATTACCTGCAGTCGACAAGCGGCCGCCTAGAGCAGCTACGTGCCTGTGGTTCGTGCTGGATTGGACGATGAAGCAAATGGGAGTCATCCGTCTCCCGCCAGTTCGTACACCTCATCCGCCGGTGCGATGCGCTAAGATGCATTGTCTGTTGTCAAGGGCCGGCTCCACGTCCTGAGCCTCAGAAGTGTCAGTGGCACAGAGCAAAGTCGCACTTGAAATGGCTTCAGAAGAAGCAGCAAGAGAAAGAAGAGCAACCAGCCAGAACAGCACACGGGCCTCATCACCTCGTGTTGTGAAGTGAGATGGATGGAAGGCCACAGACAGCAGAGACGTTTTCTACGGCGGAAGCACGGGCTGGCGTCACATCTAGTGGCAGTCGACAAGTTGAGACAGGCCCAAGGGCTGCCATTTGCCAAACAGATTGCCGCAAAAGTCAACCTGGATGCTCAGCTCCTAGGCTCGCACCCTCCTCCTCCCCTTGGACTAGACTAGCACCACCCAGCCCCCGAATCTCCGTCAGATTAGAGTCGGTCTCTTCTCTCTGTCCCAACCCAAGCAACCAAGGCACCGCGTGGCTGCAGCGCCGTTGGATATTGCAACCGCAACACATGCACAAAGCACACAACACAATGGCGACAAAGGAAGTACTAGGCCGTTGGCGGGGTCTACCGTCTACCGCCGCCTATCGCCTCTCCCGGCCGCCCTATGGCTTGTCTTGGTGCGCCCAGCCATGTGGTTTTGCTGGCCTCATCTGGTTGCTTGC